TGAACTGGAACAAACAATTGAACAAAAATATTACACGAATGTCGAATAAAGTTCAGCTTAATAACGTTAAACGTCATTGGGCCGGAGTTGACAAGGTCGGAGTTGACGCGGCCGGAGTTGACACTTGAGTGTTTTTCGCGGGAAAGAAAGTGTCCACGATGCAGAATACAAACAAAACCGATTGTTTTGAGGTTCGATCGTGCAGGTACATCATATACTGAATTATATCACTGGCGCCACTTCCCCAGTATGAAATTTTAACATAAATGGAGTTGACAGTTTCAAATTACCATTTTTAGAAATCCAAATATTTGATGCAGAAAAGGTTTACTTATGTTTATCAGAGCAGTGTTTCCGATAGCCCGGGACCTCCAACTCTTGAAAAAACACAATCACGATGGCTACCCTGCGCGCGCACTATCAGCTATTTGCTCCGGAATGCGCGAAAATAGCTCCGCCGGAGTTGACACCAAAGCTAGCGACACAACTTTCTATGTATGGTGCACGTTCTCCTGACTTTTAAATAGTTTTCTAACAATTTTTCAGAAGACCCCATCTATTCAACAATTTAAATAAAGCATCAAAATTGTGCAGGACTCCGCCAAAAAGTCAGCAGAACAGTTCTTGTGTTCGAATTTAGCCTGGCGACATTAGCCGGAGTTGACATTTGCACTATTAAAAAAATTCCCGAAAGTATGCTTCGGCATTTAAAGTAGATTTAACAATTTTTTAAGATTGCCAAGACCTACCGAAGTGTAAAAAAAAAATAAGTTAGACATATTCCGTAGATTACCGCCTCGAAATCATCCGGCGACAGCAAAATGAAAATCTACAGAAATCCACCCTATTGATCCCAGCATTGCTTAATATTGAGCAACTTGATTGCATTACAGTCTTCAAATTCATGTAATGAGCCAGTAATGTCCATTTCTTTTCATTCATTTTCTAACAGTATGTAGTGATTTAAGTTTCCAGGAATTTTTTTACCCCTAAATGGCAAAGAAAATGCCACAATTGGGACTTTTTTGAAACAATATTTTTGGGGGGCTCTGATGACGTAGCCAGACGGAGAGAACAGCATTTGCTGATTGGCTAGAGGCTAAACTCAGCCTCAGGCTTTGCCTTACTGCGTTAACTTGACTGTCAGCTTTTCAGTGGTTGGTTTTGTATTAGATTGTTCTCCCCTAAGAAATGATTTTTAATGAACTTTATGGTTTTGTCACAAAATTTTACCTAAGGAAAACTATACTACAATTGGACGTATTTATGCTAAATGGTAATATGTGCATGTGGAAAGATGGGATGCGCTCCTTAGTGGTCGGGCCATAAGAATGAATGAGAAATATAAGGCGGCAGTGACGTCAGCGGCAGCAACGAGAGAAAGGACAATCAACGACTTGGTCTTTAACTCATACGCCCTGTCCACAAGGCTCTTGTCACATGCCCACGGCTAACAAGTTAGCGCTCAGTTCCTTTTGATTTAATTGATCCAGCTTTTCCATTTTCTCAAAAGAAACTATATCCACTTTTATATAGTTTCATACCCCATCTTTCCACTTCCACAAAGTTCCTTTTAGCATAAATAAGTCCAATTCTGAGAAAATTTCTTGCCACTGCCCCATTAAATAACAAGAGTAAGAAGTAAATAAACAATACCTTCCAGGTCTCCTTAGGGCTGGATCAATCAACTGAGGTTGTGTGCAGGTTCCAAGAACAACAAGCCGAGTCTTCGAAGACCTCACTGAGTCGAGAGCAGATATTAAAGATGCACAGATTCGCCTTTGCTGATCTGTTCCTTTATGACTGGGGCACAAGATGTTGACTTCATCGATAAGAATAATGCTTGGTTCATTACTGCTCGCTTCTTCAAAATAAGACTTAATTCTGGTTTCGCTTTCTCCGAAGTACTTGCTGAAGACTTCAGAACTCTGAGAAGATTTATAAATTTATTATTCTTTAAATCACATTAGCTTTGGTAGCATTGGTTTATAGAAGAGAAAAATACGAGTGTCTATAATTAAATGGTTTTCTTGTGACTGTATACTCTGAGCGAAGAGTTCAGTACAAATGCATTCTTCTCACTTGTAATCGAGAATTTTCTGATGCCATTTCAGTCACCTAATTCTAGATAGCTTTTAAGAACGTCTACAGACTTCAGAATATTTAATGCCAGGCCAGTCCAAGTTTTTTCTGCAAAAAAATTCCAAGACTGTTTGAAGTATCTTGATTTAACTTTCGATGCCTCTTTGGGTATTCAAAAAAGTAAAATGTTAGGAATTTTTTCCAGAAAAAGATCTAGGTAGTATCTTACTTCTGAAATATAAAGTGGTTTTGAATTAAACTACATATTAGGTCTGATCCCCATTCAATGGCTCCCTAGGCCGTGCAGATTGGGGAATTTCTACTTAAAATCATAATTTTGTTCTCATGAACGTGTTTTGATGATTATTTCAGTCCTCAAGTAAAATAATACAGTATAATTAGTTGAACCACGAAAATTAAAACTAAAAATGGCAAGATTTTTTAAAGGATTAACTGTATCACTCATGAAAACCGAATGTAATCATCAAAATAATAGAAATAAAGTTGATACTTCTAAAGTAAAAAAAATTCTTTCAGCATCTGCGTCATGCGGACTGAAAAACATTGTTTGAAAAAATTACATTTTCAGCCAATTATGTAGGAGCAAACTAAGCAATTTTGATAAAAATGAACCTTAGTAATGCTATATGCAATATCTCAAAGATAAATACCTTCAAAAATAAATGTTTTTTTATCAAATACAGGTAAAGATTTAGGGAAAAATTGTATTTAAGCAATCCGTTACACCACTCCTTGATCTTGTTATCAAAGTACTTCTCTCTGAGCAGGAAACTATTTTTTGCCCCACAATAGAAAAATTTCAGATTTAATCATTTTAGAGATAAATTTTTCATACAGATAAATTATCATCCCATGGTGAAAGAATGTAAGATTCAATGAGAGCAAAATTACCTGAACTTCTACCACATTAACATTGAAGGAATATGCCAGCGATTTCATCAACATTGTTTTTCCAGTGCCATGAATGCCGAAAAGCAAAATACCACTTGCAGGTTTTCTGATGCCTAAACATAGATAAAGAAGAGAGGGTAAATAAATATGGGTGATTTGTGCTATTTCTATGATAGGGAATTAACCCCAAAAAATTCGAATTTCACTATCCCAAAGTTTCCTTGGTCCCCCTTGGAATATAAAATAGTGTGAGAAGGAATTCTGACATGATCATGATTAGCAAAGTTTCTACAGCAGTATTACTGCTTTTGGCTTAAAAATGCATCCAACAGTTTTTTACAGTTTGTTGGGGCTCTTTCGCAAACTCCACTTAAAACTAGTTCTGTTCTTTCATTAATTTTTTGTCTTAATCTATTATTTTAAAAAAATTGCAAAAGCAAGAGGCACAGTGAAAAACTACACACAAAACTGACATAACTTTTCCACCTAACTAGTTCATTCACTGATTTTGGCATCATTACTCCAATAAAATCTTAAGTTATAAAGTGACTAGACAGGGTTGCCAATTTGTGTTTGATCTTATAAAATGGTGTTCATTAGCGAGAGAGCATTGAAAAAGTTTTAGAGGCTGATTTCAGAAAGAGTAAATTCTTAAAAATACCGTAGGCGATTGTCATTTGCTCCATGTTGAAATTGACATTAATTCGCCAATTTTTAATTAAATAGATTAATCTTGATTTCAATTGACTTTCTTTAATACAGTAGACTCTGGATTATCCGGATCGATTTTGCAACCGGTGGACCAGGGTGTATTTGCAGCAACCAAGAAACTTTTTCGGCGAGAGCTTCTCACTGCTCTGCTCACCTCTTACGACGCAGGGATAGATGTCCCTACTGCGTTGAAAAAAGTAGATATGGTCGACGTTATAAACTAGGTAGCACTTGCCTGGGATAAAATTTCACCATTGACTCTGCTGAAATCATGGAAACCCTTGTTGAACCATGTCGTCGACTTTGAAGTCCCTCAAACTGACGAAATTGATCAACAACTATTAGCATTACTACAACAACTACCCGGCAATAAGGTTACTGGAAAAACCCTTGATGATTGGCTCGCTGCTGACGAGCTCACTGACAAGCTGACAGACAAAAATATCGTCAACACGGTCAGCGAAGAGCCAAACGATACTTCCGAAGAAAATGCGGGAGACAGTGAACCAGCCCGTGTTTCCATTCCACACTCTCAAGAATACAAGTCCCTAGCAGATGCGCTCAACTACGTCGCGGAGCAGTCAGAATCAACGGCAATCGACATCAGTTATTCACAACGCTGGCAGGATTTGGCATCCAAGAAACATGCGGATTCTAAAAGACAGAGACCGTTGACTGCCTACTTCAAGCCCGTTTAAGTTGGTATGTACATGATGTATACAAAATAAGAATACTGCGGTGTTGGTTGGTGGTGTTTGTGTTTCCTACTATTATCCGGATTTTTCTTTATCCGGATCGGGCCCGGCACCAATTGATCCGGATAATCCAGAGTCTACTGTACCATTAAATGAAACCAAAATCAGCTTAATAGATTCCTCAGTTTTTTTAATTACAGCGCTGGTCCCAGCCATTTTGGGACACCGTATGTCTTTGATACTATTTATGGTAAATTTTGGCAGATTTTTGGATGTCTAATGATACTTTTCAAGTATCATTGCATGAACAAATTCAGGAACATACAACCTTGGTTTACGATTGGACGTAGTTCTACCAAACAGACCTATGTGCAAGTGAGAAATGTGGGGTGTGCTCTAGAAAGCTGCATAAGAAGCAATATAAAAGTGGGTGTGGTTCCTTTTGAAGAATTGGAAAAGCGGGATGTTGCATTCTATCAAACAGACCTATGTGCAACTGAATGCGGAACTCATGAGCCGCGGGCATGGCAAGAGAGCCTTGTGCACAGGGCTCACGAGTTAAAGCGCCCCGACGACGATCTCCCCGTCGTTAGAGTGCGCACTCTCATTGCCGCTGACGTCACTGGCGCACAATTATTCCCATTCACTCTTACGCAAAGAGAACTAACGAGCACACCCCACATTTCTCACTTGCACATAGGTCTGTTTGGTAGAAATACGTCCGATTGTTTTACTCTAAGTTGCTCATCAGCCCCAGAGAAATGGCTATTCTTGTTATCGTGAAATTACTTACACTCCATTCAGGGATGCAAAAAATGATCTGGGGACGATGGCAAATGAATCAGTAAGTATGAAAACACACTAACTCAGTAACTTGAACATACTCAAAATATATTAAAGACAGTCAATTTGCATAACAGTCATTGAAGTTAGCGCATCTGGTTCAACTTGAACCTTTAACAAGTTATTAATTAATTGTCTTTTGGCACCAAAAAACCTTTCTCTTAGACTAACTTCTGCAGTTTTGTGTGCATCTTGATTGTTTACATTTTTTTGAGTTGGCGGGTTTTTGTTCTCACTAATTCAAATGAGGCAAATTTTGGCAAAAATGATAATATTTTTACCCCCTCATCACTTTAAAAAAAGAGGATATGGTAGACCGTTTGCCTGAAATCGGACAGCAGATCAGAAATGTGGCTACATAGCAAAAATGCCTGATCCTAAGAAATGGACGGGGTTTTGGAAGTTCATACACTTTGGCTGTTTTCTCAAAACAGCCAGAGTGTACTTCTGGCTGTTTTGACAGGATAAAAGTTCTGCGTATTGAACACTTACCAACATCTTTTGAGGAAAGACACAGCTTGATCATATCTTGCAGCTGACTGATAACATTTCTAAGACCTCCAACTTTGGATAACATGAAGACCTCCTTCTCCCCAGTTTTTTCTGTCGGAGAGGAGCTGCCCGATAATGTCCATTTGGTAGATTCACAACTTTGAACAAAGTTGCCAGAGGCAACACTGTCGTCTTCCAAAGACAAATAGCTAAAATTTACAGCTACATCATTCCCATCAAAATGTTTAACAGCTGAATCGACGATGGCTGTGAGCTTTGTTCCGTAAAATGTGAAGGAAAGTTTTGAGCCAATCTTGAAGTAGTGATTTCGATAATTTTGTGCCAAGTATTCCATGATTTTTTCATGATTCACGTCACCATCAGCAATTGAAAACACTATTTCTTTGGCTGGTGGCGGCAAGCGATCAATTTTCTTAACCTTCACTGGTCCTCTCTCAAAAGAAATATTTTTCAGCTCTAAACAAACACAAAATGAGATGAGAATGTGAGAAATATTATAATAGAATATTTTATGACACAAGAATGAGATGGAGAAAAAACCACTGGTCTTGGTAATTACTGAGAAAAAATGGTTAAAGGTTAAAGCTAGAGGATAGGAGGTTAATGGAAGACGTATGAATTATAGCATTGCATTCTAAATATGTCTTTAGTTTACAATTTGGAGCAGTGGAGGCCCCAAAATAAGAAATCTTCACAAATTAACCCCTTTATTTACCTTTATATACCCTTTAATAAGTTTATTACCTTTAAATTAGCAGTGGACATTGAATAATAAATACCAGATAGGTAACCAACAGAATCTTCCTTTCTCCAGGACGATTCATACCACAATTACCATTATCGCAGTTTATTTACAACAATTCCTCTTTTTTGGATCTTCAGCTTTCAACTTTGGAAGCAAGAACTTTGGTGGCAAAGAATTTTGGCAGGGTTGTGATATAGTTTCTCTAACGCAAAATTTTTTGAGAAAACCAAAATAATCATTTAAAGTTCAAAAAAGTATTTCTAAGGAAAGAAGAAGCTGATCAAAATCCGATCAAAATGCCTGAAGCCGAGCTCAGCCAATCAGCCACCGCCATTTCCCCCACCAGGCTAAATCATCAAGGCCTACCAAAATTATATTTTCAAATAGGTACCATTTTTGACAGTTTTGATACAGGTTGTCTTTGCAATTTAGAGTTAAAAAAAAATCTGAAAAACTTCTGAAGACTTAGTTAGCTCCATGCTTTCAGAAAATGAATTGAAAATAGGTGACACTGCACCATACTTTCGATGGATATCTTTATGATAGCGACAAAACCCAATCAATGAAACTTAGAAATCCTTTTTACCTCTAAAGGCCTTGTCCACACGTACTCAGTTTGGACAATTTATTCCACAAATTGGGGGTATCAGGAACAAATTATAGGTGGGTGATAACAAGTTCCTGAAACAAGTTTACCTGAAGTTTCTTAAACCGCACTCGCGTAGACAAGACCTAACTTGCTCCTCGAGCCCCCAGACTGTGGAACTAATTTGCCCAAACTGCACTCGTGTGGACAAGGCCTACTTTTTGAAATTTTACTACCATTTCTTATTTAAAACATCATGTTTTAAGACGGATCTTTGGTTTATAGAATTATTTACCATAACATCTCTCTCTCTCTCTCTCTCTCTCTCTTATGAATACCACCTTATTCGGTAACTTACCTTCCTCAGCGATGAATATTTTGAAGTTCTGATTTTGAGGTACTAATGACTGGCGGACAAGTTTTATCACAACTTGTTTGTTTTGAATCAAGAGTACTGCTTCACCGATCACCAGTTTATTGAGCCGGATCATTGCCTCTGATATATGAACATAATTGTAAGCATCATCATCTAAAAAACAATGTAATGTAAATATTGTAGTATCAAAATTTACAAACATGTATGTATTACAGAAGAATTAGAAATGATGATTGAAACATAAAGTTGACTAGCTGCTCCGGGCGCCCTACGGGCGCCCTCCACAGCTAGCAATGGTGGTGCAGTAGCTTATTTGGAATCGGAGCGATTAGTTGAATCTATTTAATAATGATGATGATTCTGCGGCAGAAGATCAAGGAATTTAACTGCCTCTCTGCGTTACAGGGTGGAGACTGCCATTCTACCGAAAAATGTTATAAAAAGCTCGCATTATTAATTTTTCTTTTTTTTTTGTTACTGTTTAAATTTTTTTTTATTTTTATTTTTTGATAATTTTCTAATGACTATGAGGCTTTTGGGATTTATAAAAGATCGAAGCACCTCTTTGTGCACGATGTTTTTTGTACGGTTGCCTTTGGGAAGAATTTGGACTTCAAAATTTTTGTACGATGTAGCTCGTGAGAGTGCAACATATAGTTTACCATGGCCAAAAACTGTTTGGGGTAAATAAATGCCGACTCGCTTCAGTGTTTGACCCTTAGCTTTGATGATGGTCATGCAGAACGCAATGCGAATTGGAAATTGTCGCCTCTTAAAAGAGAAAGGGAGAGAGGAGTCTGCAGGTGACAAATCAATTCTTGGCAGTGAAATTCTTTCACCGGCCTTCTCGCCGGAAATGACCTGCAAATCAAGACAATTTTCATAACGTTTCCAGACGATCAATCGGGTACCATTCGATAAACCTTTAGAAACGTTGAGGTTTCTTAAAAGCATGACAAAAACCCCCTCCAAAAGTGTGAGTTTATGCGGTGGTAAGCCACTAAGATTAAGACTGTCCAAGAATTCGAGGGGAAAATTGAGAGCCTCTCCCTCTTCCTCTACAATGAGCCTGTTAACACTGAAGTACGTTTTAGAGACACCTGAAAGAACTTCAACAACCTTGTCGTTAATTTCATTGCAATGCTTATTTTTAGGGGCCAGAATTGCGCAGTTTGTGAAATCTACGTTCGAACATGAGGAAGCTATCTTTTCCATAAATTTCAGTAATAATATCAGTTTCAGTAATACTGCTTGTCGGTAAATCAATGAATTCCGGCATGGCCTTTTTTAGCAGAAAGGTAAACACCATCACCTATTTCGAGTTAAAATTTTGCAAACTCCGCTTCGTCTTGCAAAGTTCTCATATTTTGAGTAAGTTTTCTGATTTTGAAAAGAGGTCAAAGTGGTGAGAATTTGATTGCATTTTGCACCAATGTTTGGCGAGAAGCATGCGGAACAACGGGTAAAACCTGTCTAAAATCACCACCCTAGACGACAATTTTTCCTCGAAAAGGGATATCATTACCCATTCTCTAAGAAGTCGGTCGATGCATGCCAGAGCATGCGTGATAACCATGGGAGCTTCACCCCAAAAAATGATCGTTGTTTTCCGAATAGTCTCAGCCTCTCTTGAGCTAACCGTCAGACTCGACACAGAATTCTCATTCAGAACCGAAGGAATTTTGAATTTGCTATGAACCGGCCGACCGTTAGGTAGCAACGATGCGGCGATACCTGTCCAAGCAACGGAGATGACGTCTAAGTTTTCCTTTGTACAATACGCAGTAAGACATTCTTAAACGAAAGTTTTTCCCGATCCTCCTGGACCATCAATGAAAATCGCATTACACGTGTAAGATGGATTTTGGATGAGACTAATTATTTCAGAAATAATTTGATGTTGCTCTGGGTTAGCGGCAGAAATCATGGAATCATAGTTTTAGGGGGAGGAGAGTCAGGATCCGACCCTTGAAGATTCAGGTTAATTGGAAGCAATTCCGGAAGATCAAATGATGATATTGAAAATCATTGAAGTCTTAATGTGCTTTCAATAGCAAAAAGCCGATCAACGTAGTCGACCGACCAACAAAATAAAGAGAGAGGAAGAAACAAAGTATCAAGCAAATTTGAAACAAAGTTGGAAAGAGAAAAGAACAAATAAGAATGAAATGTCCATAACAATACATGTTGTTAGCAATACGTGTGCGCACCGCTGCAGTTAATAAGTCAGGGTCAGTCAAACCGCCAGGATGCCTATCAAGAAGTGGTGAAGCGGAGTAGCCGAGAGGTTGCGACGGAATGTGGGTGGTGAGTGACGAACGACAATGCGACCCAAACCTTCTTTGAGGTTGGTGGGAGGAAAGCTATACGAAAGAAAACGGAGATAGCCGAGAGAACGTGGTGGGAGGGGTGGCTGAGACCCTAGAGGGGGTATCTAGGGACGGGAAAGCAGGTAGCGGCCAGATGACCGCTCGAAACAGCTGAACTTTACTCGTCGATAAAAGTAAGAAAATTTGAGAAAATCAAAAAAACAATTACAGCCTGCAAATCTACAGATCAGAAGCTTTCATTTAAAAAAAACCCCATGCAAATCGGTCCGGTGGTTCTCTCAGAGTTAATGTCCCAAAATGCGGACTTTAGTCTGAATAAATGGGAGAAAATTTGAGCCCAGCTAAACTTCACTCGTCGATAAAAGTAAGACAATTTGAGAAAATCGAAAAAACGGTCACAGTCTGCAAATCTACAGATCACAGGCTTTCATTTAAAACAAAAATCATGCAAATCGGTCCGGTGGTTCTCTCAAAGTTAACGTCCAAAGATTCGGACCTCCGTTTTAATGCATCAAAGAAAATTTGAGAAAATTATGGGAGAAAATTTGAGAAAATCGAAAAAACGACCACAGCCTGCAAATCTACAGCTTAGGGGCTTTCATTTAAAAAAAAGATCATGCAAATCGGTCCGGTGGTTCTCTTAAAGTTAATGCCCCAAGATTCGGAACTTTGCATTTTAATATATAGGATGATTCAAAACTGAGCATAACCGAGCAGTATTTAACGTTTCAGAACTCAGAATTTCTGGCTCTTGACAGAGATGAAAATTGCTCTTAACAATTTTCCATTCTCACAAGCATGCATGTATGTGCACATTCAGTAGCACAACTTTACAATTGAATCATAATTTTTCATTATCACGGCAATTGTGCCAGAATAACGCAAAGCTTATTATTAGATTGAAAAAACTTTGTGTCGCCATTGGAGGTTATATAGAAATGAACAAAAAAATGGATGTACATAAACCCCGGCACAGTTATTGTAGAATGGGATTTATTACTGTGCCAAAGTGTTGATTAAGTAACACTCAAGTCTCAAAAGAGCAAAATTATATCAATAGAGACAATTAAAATTCTTACCAAGAGTGTCAAGAGAGGAGTATATGACGGAGTCAAGAATGAAAGGATGTTTCCAAAGCTCTGCGGAGGGTGGGCAGAACTCCTTTTGATGTAATTCTAAATTGGTATAAAATAATATTGATCCACAATTTTCGCAAAGACACCATGTGCCTTCACCAGATTTTCTCCTTTTCATTTTTAAGCACTTCTATTTTCTTCACAAGTACCTGCAGCAAAAGACTATATCAGGAATTTTCAAAACAATTTCCTTCACCTTAACTCAGTTGCACCCTTAAAAGTTAAATTGCAAGTTGCATGGAGTCATTCATGACCTCGTATTGCTTTTACCTATACTAAGATGTTATTTTCGGGTTTTAACTTTAAATATGCAATAACAGCTTATAAGCTGTCTCATGAATGTCTACTAACTTCACAATCAAAATTTATTGAAATTTATTCCAGTCCGAAAAAAATATCAACTGTATTGCAGGTCAGAAAACTGCAGGAAATCAACTACCACACAAACTTGTGGTCGTTGTCTCTCTGTTTACACAGTGTTGTGCTGCCACTGTCCAACCTCAAAAAAAGATTGATACAACATGTACAACAAGATATTGTGTGATTTGGAAGGAAGTGATCACTGTTACCTTGGTCTTGCTCACAGTTGATTTATCAAGACTTAACTTACTTGTAAGTAACTTCGAGTTGAACAGTCAAACAGGTAAACCTGCTATGTCCAAATTTTGCTAAGGATTTCACAATTTCAGATTCTTAATCCCTCATCTCTTGATTGTTCTTGAAACATCTGAAGGAAAGGCAATGATGAAATAGTAATGTAAATATTTAAAAGAAAATAATGAGAGTTAGGTACTAATTAGATGATGCTCCAATTTAAGAACTCATTGAAAAGCAGCACGAAGTCCAGGAAGATGTCTTACCTTGATAGATTTATTTTCCCTACTTTGCAGAATGCAGCCCAGTCAACTTTTGGAGGATGTATCAGAAAAAACTTGAAGATGCAGTTTACTCAGGACTTCCTTCACTGGGTGGTCCAACTTAGATTGTAGTAACGCTTTACTAGCAATAGATTGTTCTTCAATTATATGAGAAATTCCACTCGATTCAATTTCAGGTCTTTGACAGATGATACAATCTTTAGAATCTTGCTTATTAGATGCTAAGAGGTGCTCTGTGCCACTAATCTTCTTAAACGCTAAAACTTTCATAATTCCTTCCACTTCACCAAGAGGGAAGTTGTTGGCTAAACCCTCGTTAAAGCCAACATTAAAGCCTTGCTGCAAAGTTTCTTCTTTCCCAATTTCAGCACCTTCTCTAAAGCCTTCTTGAAAGAGAGCTTGGGACATGCGGTTCCAAGATTTATTTCCTATCAATAATTCTTCATCCATCATTTGTAGAATCTACTTTTGATATCAAAGTCTGAAGTCATATCACTTACTCACAAAAGACTATCTGTCTCCAAAAATGACGAATAACACTAAGCGATACAAATCTGAAGATTAAAGTTATGTGAAACAGAATTTTTCGTCGTGAGGCAAAGACGAAAAATTAATACTTCTCTAGAAATATGTGAAAAGCACGTAATCTAAACAGGTCCCGAGAAGCACGATCCGATCTGCTACCGGGACATGCGGTTCCAAGATTTATTTCCTATCAATAATTCTTCATCCATCATTTGTAGAATCTACTTTTGATATCAAAGTCTGAAGTCATATCACTTACTCACAAAAGACTATCTGTCTCCAAAAATGACGAATAACACTAAGCGATACAAATCTGAAGATTAAAGTTATGTGAAACAGAATTTTTCGTCGTGAGGCAAAGACGAAAAATTAATACTTCTCTAGAAATATGTGAAAAGCACGTAATCTAAACAGGTCCCGAGAAGCACGATCCGATCTGCTACCATAGAATAATAAAGCTTAGGCGTAGCCTTATTATTCTATGCTGCTACTCATGTTCATGTCATGTAAAGTGAGGTTATGTTTATCACACGCGTGTCACGTGTTTCTGACACAAACTGACACTCTCCTCTGATTGGCCAACGAGATTGTCTCAAGGTCATTATGTTTGTTGACATTTTTGAACACTTTGATGATTGATAACAACCAATGCAATATTAATTATTGATAAAAAGTAGAGAAAGCAAGTGAGAATTAAAAAATTTAATGAACTCAAAACAGTTAAAATTTTCAGTAATTATTCTACTAAAGATTTCCGTTTGTAGACAAACTAAGTTCTAATATTCTACTTTTTCTCTCAATAATTGTGTGTTAGTGAGTTTCTGTCATTACCTACAAGATTTTGATTCTCTGCGTTAGTTAATCACACGAAATGGATTTCAAGTCACAGTTGGTCTTGGTCGGTCTGTTAACTCACCTCCAAGAATTTCCTGTATGACCTTATTCTGCGTTCTCAAGGAACCAGTGGGTCTCAAACTACCGAACTTAAACTCTATAAAACTGCTGCAGCGGCTGTGTACAGTTGGAATCATGCATGATTACATGGATCTCTCGCATCTCTCACAAAAGGTTAGTCCCGGATCTCCTCACAGTCAGCATTCAGATGTGGATCCTTTGTGTCTCTCACCAAATGCTAGTTCTGGATCCCCTCAAAGTCAGCATTCAGACGCCTCCTCAGGTAAAGAACATGATCCTCCAACCATGGACGAACTCGATGTCTTCGTCAAGCAATTCAAGAAGAGACGAATCAATCTAGGATTCAGTCAAAGTGCTGTTGGATCTGCTTTAGGTCCATTATGTGGCCATGAGATTCCACAGGCAATAATTTCAAGGTTTGAAGCATCCATGTTAAAATTTAAAAATATGTGCAAATTGAAGGTGTTTCTGCAGAAGTGGTTAGACGAAGCCACCAGTATGTCAGTATCTGCAACTAGTATTGGTCATGCTTCTGCACAGAGTGGAAACAAAAGAAAACGGCAAGGTAAAGATGACTCACAAAAACTTGCATTGGAGCAACATTTCCACCAGCAGCCAAAGCCTTCAAGCTGTGAAATCTCTTCAATAGCAGATAGCTTGCAACTTGAAAAGAAATTAGTCAGGCATTGGTTTGGTAATAGGCGGCAGAAAGAAAAAAGAATGACTATGCCTATTAGGATAGAAAGGTCCCAAGATCGCCCCTTGGATAGTAAAAAGAGTTCTGGACCATCTGAGCAGAAAAGAAAAAAAGACAACCAGTCTTCATGACAGATCCGTTTACTTGTTAAGTTGGTACTCTAAGCAGCTCTGCTGTTGGTTATAAACAAGATTTTCTCTCAATACATCGTAAAACAATTTTTTGGAGTCTAAAAATTCTAGGGTAAGTAATGGATCTGACCATGGAGGATTGAGTAGGCGCAGAATGTGCAAGGAAGGGTGATGCAGTGAAAGGGGTAGCAGACACACCCGGTGTTAAGTTCTTAAGCGTTACGCTCATTAACTTTATGATTTTATATTATAGAATAAGTTTCTCTATTTTCTTTCCAGATTTTCATATTTATTCCGGAAGCTGAATTCCATCTTAAGTCATTTCATTCATACCCATATACCATTTTTTTGTTTGCGAACACGCAAACTTCACCACATCTCAACCATCCAGTCTCAACTCTTGATTTTTCATTCAAGCCTGATAGTTTAAAAGGAATTTATGTCGGAATGGGTGCCTCTGTGGCTTTCAGCGTGGGAAGGGGTAGAGAAGGAACGTTAGCGTGAGGCCCTACAGCCATCAGGGTTCTGGGACAAAGTCCCCCCTTTTCTAAGCTACCCGCACAGCAGTGCCCTTGTGCGATACACATTCTGTAGCTATGGTCACAGCGTTTTCAATTGTGGATGGTTATCAGGATTACCCATGTGCTTGACTCCTTGTTTCGACTAGTAAATCATGTTAATTCCATGGTATTCAGGCTTTTTATTTTGATGAATTCAACACATGTACCTGCTGAGGAGATGCCCCTGACTTCATTGACTTTGTTTGAATTATCTCTGTTGTCTGAATTCTACAGTAAAGTACTTATTTATTATGATATGACATGCCTGTCTTTCCCATTATCCAAGTTGTCAAAGGACCCGAATTGCCAGTATTTGACTCGAGAAAAAGAGTTCTTTCAATGTTATGTATTCATGTGACATGTAGCAAAACCAACAAATAAATGATTAAAACAAAGTAATAGCCTTGTGTAAACTAAATTTTGACACCGTTTCCTGTCATTTTACTAGATTTGGGCATGTCCTTGGATCTGCTCATGTGGCAACGTCCTATGTCCAAACATTTTGCAGAATTTCCAAAGGACAATTTAAATATACTTCCTTATGTTTCATTATTAAATTTGAAATCCTGCAAATTTAATCAAAAGTTCACCAAAGACGTTAAGTAAATTTGTTAATGAATGTGCTATACAAGCTGCTATTCTGAAAAAAAAAAAGTTTGGACATGAGGCGTTTTCGCGTAAGTTAATTGAATTAGGAATGCTTAAATTTCTTTCTTTCTTTTCTAAGTTATTGATAGCAGAGCAAAGAAAAGTATTTAAAAATTAATTTAGGACATGGGGAAAAAAAACCCCAGAGTTATGACACTCTGAAGTTTGCAGTTAAAAAAATGTAGCCTTAAGAAGAAACTCCTTAAAATTCTATGAAATTAGCATGTTCAGGGTATAAAATTGATGGATTACAATAAAACTAAACCTCAATGCCTGCTATTTGCACCAAACTGAACTAAATTGGGTGCATCTTATTTTTAGGACCCTAGTGAGAGTTTTCCAGAGTAATCGAAATTTTTAGTAGCTACTGAAAATTTTGCTGCCAATGGCAAAGTCTCTTTTCCCGTGGATGGTCACCAGGGGTGGACTGGGACTGAAGAGGAAACCGTGATAATTGGCCAATCAGAACCTGAAGCAACCCATTTTAGCCGTATTCTCTGTCACAAGGAAATAAACCAGTCCAAAATTAACTAAAATAGTGACCCACCAGGATTTTTACAGTGTTCCTGCCTGCTTGTTCGTTCCTGATGGTCACAAATACTTTAACTTCTGTAGGGGGAAAAGCAAAACCTTTCAAAAAATTATTCCGTCAAATTCACATATGAGTTGGCAGAATTTTCTGTAATCCACTCGAATTTAGAAAATTTCACAATATACCAAGGCATCATAAGAGGTGATTTTCTCTGATTGCAGTGTTGATGGCATACATACATACTTACATACAACAAAATAATCTGCATAAGCTTCCAGAGCTGTTATTTGAAATTACTTTCAAAACTAAATTCGTTAAAAGAGGCCTTAATTGTCTGAAAAAGCAAATACAGCCCGGAAGCAGCCTTTTTGATTTCACCCTTGGCTGAACACATGCGTCAAGGTACAAAACAATCAAACAAAAAACTTGTTGGATAAAACAAATGAGGAACGTGTGCTACTGATGCGAGCAAAGTAAGTGACTTATTCTAAGAAAATAAGTCAGGATTAAGATCAAATTAAATGAGATTTATTGACTTAAAGAACATTATACATATTTATGTATAAATAAAAGTTTTTTGGTAAAATATAATACAATGATACCCAACTGACAATATAAACCTCCAGTCGAAATCCCTCTGGCTGGAAACTTAAAATTGAGAGGGAAGACAAACTAACAACTAATTATCTGAGGTAGGGTGCAAAGGTAGTAGGTAACTCTGTCCTTTGCATGTCTAACAGGAAAAAAGTAATGGATGGCTTAGCTCAAAAACCATAACTGCATTAACCATTAACTGCAACATTTCAAAAACGATGCCACAAGTGGCAGGGTATTTTTTGCAGGGGCATCGGCCAGAAAGGGAGATGATCTCTTTACAGTCTATGCATTTACACTACAGATCCGGCTTTGTGTTGCACATTTACTAAAAGGGGAAGAGAATATGTAAAAAATATAAAAAACGCTGTGTGTAATACTTGAACCACTCCTTCAAAGAAGTAAAAAACTTTCAGTAAAAATCATGTTAAAGTTACGTTAACAAGGTGTTCAATAACTGAGGTCTAATACATAGGTTTCAAGGGACAGAAAAATCCAACAATGGTAGCCTCTGCTGTAGATTCATCTTTAAAACAACTCTGATCAAAGATTTTTCCATTGAATATTTATCACAGCCTGGTATTATAAGTTTCCAATTCTAGTTCAGGCAAAGTCTGAGAACACGGGGGGAAAAACTAAAACTAAAAATAAATACCTACAAATATGTCTAAATATGATGATGTTAGGTAGTTACACTGTACATTTTCATGATGAAACTTCTCGTAGAAACAAGAGGACTCCCTGCTTAGCGAATGAAAATGAGAAAAAGCCCCATATTTTCAAAATTATATCACACTAGGTACATCTAATAAAAAGTTTGATTTTATTTTTATCCATCTCTACAGCTGGATAATGTTTCTCACGCCCAAGAATTTGATTTTTTATTCACACCATTGGCTGGCTTTTAACACAATATACGACTGAAAGTAAAAAAGAGTCTATTTATAAATTAAATGACAGCACTTGAGAGGGAGAGAGGATTGCAATAAGGAAACGTCGAGCTCACTACTGTGCACCAAAATCAAATTTGATTACAAAGGCTAGGGTAATTTTTTGGGCAGAGAAAAATTTTTGAACCAAATTTTGTCAAAATGGGTCTGTCGCATACTCGAAACTCGGCTAACTAAATAGACTAGCAGTGTGCAAAATCTCTGCTAAATCATGTTAGGCTCATTCAAATCCAAAGACATAAAGAAAAAGTGCTCGTATCTAAAAGCACGGGGAAAAAGTGAAGCCTGGTTTGGCGCTGGGTGCTTGTGTGAGTATGTAAATTAGCGCAGGAATTCATGGCGGCAAACGGAAATTGGATTTTAACTTGTCCTCTTGATTTTTCCACATTTCTTCTTCTGAACGTGTTTTAAATGCTTACAACGAACATATTAAGAAAGTAGGGACATTGAATTTTTATAATACACCTACTTCTGCTCGGTAACAGGCAGTAATCTCAGATAAAGTTAGTTTTTCTTCTGCTCATGGTGGTCCTGCCGGTTCAAACAGGCCGTTACAGTCCTAGATGACCGTTACTCCCAAATGAAATTAATTGGTCAATGACAGACCAAAAATAACCTAAAGCTAAAAAAATATATGTAGGTAAGTGAATTTGGGCAAAAATCAACTTAGCATACTTTGTTTACGCAATTTTATTCAGTTCCTGCCCTACATTTGAATTTCAAACTTGTCCCGATTTTGCCGCCAATCCTCTAGCCAATAGTGGCGGTGGTTGAAAAGAAACTTCATTTTTTGCTTTTAGCGCTCCGTCTTTATGTCTTTGTTCAGATCTCTAGAACTCACTTCCAAGTTTCCCACACTCTTGGGCACTTTTTTTTTGGTTCTGGCTATCAGGTTAGCTTACAGGGCAAAACCTACAGTAAAAGCAGCAATTATTATTATTCCTATAAATTTGGTTTTTTTATACACATCTGTCTCGAGGCAAACCTGGTTGCCAGCCACAGGAAAAAGGTGCCTGCAGACAGAGAGAATTCAGAAATGCATGTTACGAACTGTGAATATTGTGTTTTGAGAGGGAATTTCAAACATTTTTGATGTGCTGAATAGGATTTTTGTGTAATTTTACTTGCGAAGAATCTACTCAGTTTACTATATCTCTTGTGCGCAACAAACCCACTGCATAATCTACAAAGGCAGGTTAGCATTGAAGACTTGACAAAATATAAAAACATGTACAAGTGCATCACGTTGTACATGAGCCAGGCCTAAATTTTTCCAAGAATAGAAAATAAGGTCTTGATAATAGGCACCTAATATCAATCTAGTAATAAAAAATCAATAAAAAAGTTAAGTACAAACATAATATGAGAGGTTAAAAATAATTGATAAAAATTGTACCAAAAATTAACAAAAAGATTATAAAGACAAAAAGCAAACAAGGCCACTCAAAATGGATGATTTGAAAGACAAGATGATACCTCTTAACTCAAAATAAGGCTACAGTGACAAGATTACAGTGGTTTGACAGCAGAGCATCTATAAACTTGGGGGGAAAAGAAATCCTAACATTTTGAAATAATATCTGGACAACTTGAAAAGCAGCCGCCATTCCTATTGAAGAAGAAAGTTTTTCAAACTTCTCTGTGTTCCAACACATTGGTACGTATGTGGGGGGGGGGGGGGGGATCCATTTTAAAAACATTCCTACTTAAGCAAGAGATTTCTGTCCTTTCCATTAATTCTCTTGTGCTTCTCTATAATATAGTATTATATTATAATTATGAGGTAAATATGTTTCTGTGTATCAGTTCAGTGCATCCTGCTCACAGATTTGACAAATTACTGCCAATTTCTTCACCAAATATTAGAGAATTTAGAAAAGTAGCAGAAATTTGACTGGACTTTAATACATAATTATGAGAGGCAAAAATTTTTAAAAATTTAATAACACAGACAGGGAACACAAAATAACTCCTTTTTTAATACCCTGAAAAGGGGAAGTCTTCTTGTAGCATTACAGAACGGTCTCATGGCGTGCTTTGCAATAAATCGATTGATCTGCCATTTAAACCTTTGGAAAAGGATGGATAAACACGGTGTTCGCAACGAACACCTTGATAATCGATTTTCTACCGTAGCTTCAAATTGGGAAATACCAATAATCGATCATTCATGCTTCGCCAATGTTACAAAGCAAGCAGTTGAGACTGCATTGTTTTTATGATTCAATCAATTCTTACAGGGTGTTTACAGATTTCAGCAAAATAGACTTCGCATGAAATATTAAGAAATTCGGTGCCCGCAAAATTTCGATAATATCTGCTATGATGTTCCTGCCGGCGTTCTGAGCCTGATGAGCTTTTGAAATCAAACTTTCTACAAGCCAATCTCCAGAAAAACGGAGCAAAAAAAGGAATCTTTTGATGTCATTATACCGAAAAACTAAAGGGAACGTTGCAATATCTTAGTGTGGATCAAGGAGAGCTTTTGTTTCCTCGCAGGAGGGGAAGATATGACAGACAAAAAGAATAAAATCCTTCCAAATGATAACAGTACGCAGCGCAGCGTCTACACACACATAGCAACAGTCCCTCATCTCCATTAGGCGATGCAAATAGGAGGGCCTTAAAATTAACTTTTTAGCCCCCCTTTTCTCAAAATCAGCGCACAGAAAGGTAAATTTTAAAGGCTCATCTTGTACAAGAGATTGCAAGGACAACATATCAAATAATATCAAAATTTAGCCAACACCTAATTTCTTAGTATTCCGAGTGAAGTCCTTCCTCTAGCTTTCCCAATCAACTATCAGTAAATTAGCATAAAAATAGGAACTATGCTGTCGAAGAACCTCAGCGCTTTGTGTTTTTCTCACCTAAGTTACATTTTTTTTTAAAATCTTAATTCGAATAGAAAATAAGACTAAAAATATGGAGAAATATTTATCTTAAGAAAAAAAATTCAATTCTTCCTAATGAGATTACACAATATTAATGGATACACATTTTGACCATAACTTTCCAATGTTTGCAGACACTTTGACTTGCTGCAGAAATTATAAGTGTCACCTCACTACCATTATTAAACTGGTTGATACAGTTTGTTTAGCCTTTCCAGCCTTCTTATGACTTTAGCAGGTAAGTTGCAAAAAACTTACTCCTGTCATGATTTCGGTCCAATCTCAAATGAAAATTCCTTAGAAAACAGATGCAAAAAAGCAGAGCTACAGCCATTGAAGGAAATTCAAAATAATGGAAAAGTAACATGTTTGTAGTATATTCATAGGAAAAAGTCAAATTGTGAGGGAGCTATCCCTGCCTTTGTCTCATCTTTTGATGAAAGGACTTGCACCTTTGACGTAGAGTGTAGGTATAAAGGACTGCAAAAATCATGAGAAGTTGACAGGAAGTGTAGTACACACAAAAATGGTATTCTTCAGTACACTTGTCTCTTGGACATCCAGAAAAATAATTCCATCGACTTCCGTCAATTTATTTTGAAGTCAAATCAAGCAGAGGACCTAAAAAATAATTTGAGTTAGATTAGAAAATCAGTATTAAGAAAAAAGTTTGTTAACGTAATACTACCAAAAATCAAACCAATTAATGAAACTTGAATGGACAAGGTGTCCACTAAAATTTTAATATGGTTTTTCCTGAAATTTTCATGATTTTTCTTGATATTTTAAGTGAAATTTAATGATTCTTTTCAAGATAAAATTGATACTAGTTTGATTATACAAACCAACATATTTGATTGATTGAATTCAATGTTTCACTTTTGCAAGTGGGAGCTGCGTGTAGTTGAAAATTATTGACGTACTCTGAATTTCCTGATCTATGACTGATTTCCCTGATATTTTTCTGATGACATCAAAGTTCCTGATGTTTTCCAGCTTTTCTGGTTTTTACTGACAATAGACACCTTGATAAAGATGCATTAGTAATTATTATTATCATTACAGTAATAACAAGGTTTTTACTTCCTTAAGAGAAACATAGTGTCTCAAAAGTTTCCGGACTGGTCCAATGATTCTGAAACTAAGCTAGTCATTGAGCTGATCGTAGTCTAATTCTAAAGCTTGCGAAGTTCCTGACTAATTGAGATTTAAAAATAATTTCATTTGTTAAAAAAAATTATAAAGCTCTGACAATTTTATGGAAGGGTGAAATGCTGTTACCCAATATTTTTTGACAGATGTATTCTTAGGTACCAAGTCCAACAAGTTTTAATCTATATTTCCCCAGCCCCCAAAATCTAATTGAAAATCAGACAGTTTCTCAACATATTTTAGATTGTTCCTGATGCACTCTTTGATTCTGTAATGAGAATTTTTAAGCTCAGATTTGTACGACTCGCTGAAAATGCACTAGAAAGCCAACTTGATTTCTGTGTGATTCTCCACCATGGAAAATGAGACAATGTTGAATTTGATTTACAATAAGACAAGAAATTGCTACTTCTGAAACTGTCTGAGAATGAGGCTCAACAGCTTCTACTGCTGTTGATGTGGGAAAAAAAGGGAGAGAAAAATATCAATTGTGAATGAGATATCAAATTCCATTCTAGGTATTTACTATTTTTTATAACTGTAACATACAGAGCCAGATTTAGGGGGGGGGGGGGGGGGGTGCCATGGCACCGGGCGGCAAATTTTTGGGGGCAGCAAATTTCAGATTTTTTTTTTTTTTTCTTCTTCATAGAAAAAGAAAGGAGAGAGAAAAAAATGAGGGAAAAACTACTGGGCAGCAGCAAGACACTGACTTCCATTTCGAATTGATTCAATCTCCGGGTGAATCATCTCACTCTGAAAATTATGGGCAACTTCAAGGCGGCAAAGCCGCCTAATAAGAAATTATTTCTTGACTTTCTTGGAATCGGATTCTCTTTGGAATCTTTCTTGAATCGAATTTCGCTTTTGCCGAGTTTTCGAAACTTACATTTCACGCGCAACGCGTGTTTCTATAAGATTATTCAGATATCACAGTTCGGTAGGGGGGCGGGGGTGGGGGCGGCAAAATTTTTTGGGCACCAGGCGGCAAGATCCTAAATCCGGCTCTGGTAACATACATTGGAAAATAAAATAAGCCATCACTTACCTTGAAACTGACAAGATAGAAAATCTAGTAAAAATTGGAATCACGATTTCAAAACAGATTAGGAACAGGATTGGCACCGACACCATAACTGAAGAAAACTGAGAGACTGATGGCAAATATTAAAGTGACGCCACAGAGTTCTTTGTCTCTGGAAGATACGCACTGGAAAAAAATGAAGACAGAGTTTTTTTAACGCACTTCAGAAAAGTATTCACGAGGAACTTACAAACCTTTACAATGAATTGCAACAGTAAGGAGGTAATCTAACAAGAAGTTGATAAGCAAGTGCATTGCTCCCTACTGATTAGCAAAACTTTAAAAACTACATATGGCTTCGCTGCATGCAAATTCTTGGAAGGGAAATCAAGTCTTTCAATGAGAAAGTTATGGCTGAACGGATTCTTGTACATGCTTCTTTTTCAACATTTAGATTAGATGATATACCATTTGACATAAAGTTTGGAAATAAATTCCAACACTTGATTTCAATTGTAAAAATTACAGTTGATCAAATGCAAAACCTCGTAAAACATGAGCTGACATCCATCATTCTGCTTAAGGAATACTAATCATAGTGAGTAAAGAGTAGCTGAAGCGTTTATTTTTGTTTTAGTGGGGTTAATTATACTTTATTTAAAGAATTAAACCACTCTTTAAAAGCAAACGCTCATACTAGATCATAAATACCATAAAAAGCACATCCAAATCAATGCTTCTTAGTTTTAAATACAAGGACAAAGGTGGAATGATGAAGAAATACATTTTTTTGAGATTTTTTTTGAAAGATTCCCCGATTTCATTGCCTACGTAGTACGCATCCATTTGGCTTAAAGCTCTTAAAGATTGTTATTTATTAATTTATGTGTATATACAAATAATTTTCAAGGGAGGGGACTTTGGCAGAGTCTATCTTGTTGTCCAGGTACCTCCTGAATGGCTGCAAACAGTGCTGTGTCGGCACAATAAATCAATATTCAATGGACTGGGTGTTGAAAGGAACATGGTGGGCATCTGCATTCCATGTTGAGTGATAATGATGTTACATCGCTATAAATTGTACTTGACAAAAGAGCGTGAATATGCTAATGAAGTTTTGACATTGTTTGCATGTAGGCTATCAATCAGAGATTTTTGTCAGGTACTGTGATCACCAGACCAGTCTAAACCGATTCTTTATCTCTGTAGAACTTTCAGAGTATATTGTGGTTCTACTCCCTTCCTAACTTCCATCCTGTTTATTTTCCTTGATTCAATTCAGTAAGAACAATTGTCAATTTTGAAATATATAAGCCTACAAACCTGCTGCTGGCACCAGGCAACGATTAGTCCTTCTATACATTATTTTCTGTATTTTTTTGGTAGTTTTTAAAGAAGTTGTTTTTCATTATTTTTTGAAATGACTAATGCTTCTTTTCATCAGCTAACCATAGCACCAGAAACAACCAGGATCGAACTGTCTTTTTTTTAGTGTATTTTTGGAGGGCAAATATTCTATTGCAACCTACCCTGATACCTAGCTTAGTCATAGAACTTTCAAAAGGGGACTGATTAAAGGCTGTATATGTAAAAAATGATACGTATTCTGATTAATCTTCTCATGTGCTATAATGATTGAAGTTCTGCTCAGTGGTCAGTTATACTGACCACCTTTTTAAATAATTATTCATGGCCGTTTTGGCGCGACATACCCTTACCAACCATGTAGTTATACTTGGGATATGGTCCAGAATATGAAAAAAAATATTTCCGGGCGATGTTATATTGGCAATATTGTTTTATCGTCTATTGTTTATCTCCGATTCGTTGGAGGTTTGGTGCTGCCGGTGTTATCTCCAGTTTTGCGGTTGTCAGTTGCTTGTGGGATGCAAATGGTTCTGATTTAGTAGTAAAATATTAAGTTAGACTATAATGCTGTGAGAATATCATTTGGCAAGTGAAAAATTCAAAAGTTTTGATTATTTAATTTATGCTGGAACATGGTGGTTAGTGTAACTCACCACCGAGCAGGCGGCTAGGAGCTGGAACTGGATACTTGTTGCTGAAAGGATTCATCCTCTCCTCATTTTGACGATTTATTTCATTTACTTTTTCAAACTTATTACACAAATAATTATATGACCTCGAGGAAATCAAACTTTCAGTCTGATAATTTCATTTTTTTTTTTTTTTTTTTTTTTTTTTTTTTTATCGGTAATTTTTATGATTATGCTAATAACTTTTAATTATTGACCAAAATTATTATTTTAAAATTGCTTGTCTCATGTGGGAAAGGACCATTATCGTTACATTTTGAAAAAATGAATTTATTTCATTGTGACTAGTCTTTGATTGCCTTCTTACTTACTCCAGTTACGTTCATATGTTGCTCACTTCAAGTTTTTTTAACATATTTCTGCTCTTTTTATACTCTTTTGTAATAACTATACATTTTTCTAAGACTAGCTTCACTCAATTTCCAAAAACAGAGACTCTATCACTTACAAACATGTAAGAAAAAGTGAAAAAATTACAAAATCTACGTAGTCAACATTTATAATTCACTGGTGAAGTTAGTATGGAAGGTAAGGGGGGGTCTGCGAGGGAGGGGATGGGGGTTTGGAGTGCAGAGAGTGAATGTCTTGCGCGGATAGGTAGAGACAAGGATCATTTTTACACAAAAATAAAAAAAACACGAAAATTATATCAACATAGGTGAATAGGGAATTTGCGTATTCCTATCCTGCTCAGTGGTCAGTCATACTGACCACCCTTTTTTGTCAAAATTTTCGGGTAAAAAAAAAGTAAAAAAAAAATTTTTTCACTAATTTTGAGTTATCTAGACCCGAGAGGCCTCAGAAAACTCGAAATTTCAAAAAAAAGTTCGAAACCTATAATGTGTGCAGGTAAGGGTTAAAAAAAAAAAAAAAAAAAAAAAAAAAAAAAAAGATCACTCTCAGCAACAATTTTGATCTGAGGTTAAAGTTAGTGAGTAAATACAGGGGGCAACCTCTGCAGTCCGTTTATGGTAACTTTAGTAAAAGGATGAAAGCAGCTGTATGTGGTATTTAAACTTGCATAACAGAAACCACTTTTTAGTCCCAGAGAGGGCCATCACTTACAAAAAAAAATGGTGATTTCTTTCACTTACTGAATGAAGATGCTGAGTAACATTGTGGAGCCAGCAAAGATTAGAAATGAGTATCCGGCGAGATAGTTGAAAAATGTTGTGAATGTTAAACTGACAAGGAAGTTTCCACCCCAGTTAGCAAAACTTCCAAAAGCCATTGCGATAGGACGAGGCCCAACAGCAAACAATTCTAAAATTATCAAACACGACAATTAGAAAAACCGTAATTTGTAAACTTTATTAAAGTCTCTTGCAGGGATATTATGAGGCCTCATCAAGAGGCTACTAGACTTTCACCATGGTGACTGCTGATTTTAAGAGAAAAATCCCTTGCTTCATTCAGGTTTTTCTTAACCAAAGCGGCAAACAACTTTAATATTTTTTTTTTTTTTTTAAGATGAATCTACTGGCAAGAATTGATAAATGGACAAATTTACTGTCTTTTCAAGGCGGATTCAAGAATGGATCAGTTTTTTTTTTACTTAACCTATTTGCTCTTTTAACGTGTTTTGTCTAAAGCTTTCTTGCTCTGAAGACTTTTCATGTCCTTATCTTAAAAATTTAACGACGATTTTTGGAGCAATTTCCATTCGAAGAAAATGATCAAACTTTGAAAAGAAGGCTTTCAAAATTGATTAATTTTTTATTTAAATTTGTAGATGCTTTAAAAATTGAGATGCGTCTGGAATGCAGAGGGCATGCAACAGAGGCGCACAATACTCTGGTGTGCATGGTGAAGTCAAAAACTTCACAACATTATGAAACACATGGTAAATAAAAGATTGTTTAACTTATATGTACTGACCTGACCCAATAAAATAAGGAATAGGACCCAAACCAACTCCATACATAAAAACATACAACATGACAACAGCTATTGATGCATTTGGTAGCCAGCTTACAGTTTGCTAAAAAAGAATCCAGAGAATAGATAATGGTGAGAATGAGATTTCTTTTTGGTAAAGTCAAAATTTTAGAGTAGGTAAATTATGTTGAAAAAGTTTCAAGAGGAGTATATTGATGGCTCTTGGGCTTGTACATTAATTTTTATCATTTTATGATAAGTAGCCACTGGATACATATTCCATTAGACTGATTTTGATAACTTTTATTTTCAAAACGAAATATTTCCATTAGAATGATCTTATGAAAGTTAAAATTCGAATCGTCCAAAAGAATTTTGAAAAAAACAGCTTCATACAGAGGGACTTATTGCTGATTGAGAGTGTAGGCATCAAAATAAGGGCTTCAACTGATTTCCGACGTCATAAAGAGGAGTGTAAATACTCTTGGAAAGTGATTATGAATAGAACCAGTTTTTTTTTTCAATTACTTATGAGGGCAACCAAATAAAATTTATAATTAAGAAACTTTTAAATTTAAATGAGAAGGCCTGCGTACTGAAGAGCAATTAAAAATCACAAAATGAAAAAATTTCCGATTTTCTGCATCAAAGACCTAAATCCCATATAAATTTACAGAACATCTCTTGTTCTAAGCCACTTCTGCAAGAAACTTGGCTGTGATAAATTTTTCCTACCAAAAAATCATGCACTTCATTAAAGCAAAATTGGTGTAGGACCATAAGAGCGTTACTTTCTATGTCACAGCTCTGACTTTACATTCTCCTGGGACTTTCCAGACTTTATGAGCTACATTGAAAATGTTGTTTATTTTTCAACACCCAGACTTATCCTAATATATTTTTCACTCATTTTCAGCACTACAAATTCATCCTAATATATCTGAGTATCACTATCAGCGTCAGAAAGCCAAAGAGGCAACATGCAGCAAGTAATTAAAATAACATTAAGATCTTGAAATAAAAAGAAATAAAGTGTCCCTTGCCAATAGAGAAACTTACCATGTAGTGACTACAAAGTGTCAATAAAAGAAGGCTTAATACTGTGCCATAACAGCTTAGCAGAACTAGGAAGCGCCGTGTGAAATATTTTAAAGTAAAAACTGCAATCACATTTACTCCTAGATTAACACAGCCTGTTCCAATCACAGCATACTCCCGAGAGGTTTCATCAAGACCTGCACTTTTAAAGATGTCAGATGAATAAAAAAATACCTGAAAATAACAGCACAGGTGTAAGAGAATTTTTTTCCCAAATAAGCTATAAAGGACCAAAAAAAAAAAGTTTCAAAGTTTTTCATGGTTACAGAAGTAATAGATTTGCCACTAAAGTTCAGACTTAAATCCTACACCTTACCAAGGTCTAAAGAATGAGATCAGCCTAAAACTCTATCTCAGTCAACCAATCATTAGATTTTTATTGTTCTGGGTAGATTGAGATTGCCTCAGTAGATTGCGAGTAGATTGCCTTTTGAAGAAAGAGTAGACTTAGTATAATTGTCATTGTGATTTGTATTTGTTTCCTTAAAAAGGATGAAGTAATAGATTAATACGAACTGGCGTTTGTTAGGATGTTTTATTTAGAATAACATGAATTGTGTACTGTTTGTGTAGGGATTTCCCTGATTTTACATCAGAAAAGCATACATTTCTCCAATTATCCCATCATAAGAAATGTATAATGAGTAATTCTTTTTAAGAAAATGACAACGATATAAAAATTCTTACTTTTTGACAACCCCTCCAAGTTTTAAACACAGTAAACTCTCAGTGAATTTGGAATATAGAGTAAAAATCTGGGTTTTGATTTCAATTCGAAATTGAGAAAATTTAGAATTTCACCAGTAATAATTATCAGCAAATTATATGATGATGCATGAAATCAGTGTACTCACCGCATTGATACCAGCAAATTGTTGTCCAGCCTGTAAAGCGATGACTAAAGCTAACGGTAAAAGGAGCGACCTTGTTCGGAGAACTTGAGCAACGGACCAAGTTTGAATTTCTTCATTGTTAAAATTATTTTCTGCCGTGTCTTTTGAATCTAACTCCGATTGTAATAGGTCTGCTGGTAGTCCTCTGAGCCTGGATAGAGCTAAAAGAATACACGAGTCAGAAGAAGAAAATGATATCGTCCTTACTCATGTTACCCATTGAAGGATATGAGGAATAAGGCCCTTTGAAAATACGGGTAGTGAGGGATTTTGAGCACACCAGTATATTAGATAAGATTCTACAAAAAAACATGGTCGATGAGGCTCTTAAAATAATGTGAATTAATAGCTTTTCAAAACACAGTAGACAACAATTAACAAAAAATACAAAGGATGAAGTCTTTTGAAAACTGCAGAGTCAAATCTTGGAAATGACGTGATTGACGAACTCCCAGTAAAGATGCAAGTGACCAAAACAAGCATTCAATTTGAAAAAAGAAATTAATTTTTTGGAAAATTTATCCCAACCAAAATTTTGAATTTGGAAACAAATACTGATGAGCTGGTGTTTTTTATACATTTTTCCCAAACTTAGCACTAAAAATTATAAATGAATCACTTGGAACCATCAGGCCATGTGACTTTACCATAAATAAAGTCCTGTGTAATTTGCATGAGGAAAATGTAAGGTGAAAATAAGACCTACCTTGTAAGGCACTTTGTCTTTCATTTTTAACCGAAAATAGATATTTTGGGCTTTCTGGAAGACATGGGAAAGTAAGAAGGCAAAAGAGAACACAAAGTATGTAGGCGCTCAGTAAATAAGGCCAGCGGGTTTCTCCACCTGCAAAAAAGAAAATCAGAAATATTTTAGGGGAAGAAGAGAAAAACTTTCGTGCACTAAAAATAATGAACTTGACTGGAGAGAAGTTAGTGATAAAGGTAAATTAGTGGTAAATAGGTGTTTCTTGTGAGACATTGAGTGAATGCCTGAAATAGCAGAGAATCTGCTTGATTTAGGGAAATATTTATACCTAGATTGTTTGACTTTGTGGTTTGCAGGGTGGTAATTTTTGGATTGAGAAAGTTTGCAGTATGAGCCATTCATCGGATCTGCTTTTACAGCTGACTTACTATTATGAAATTTTAAGATTGCATTTTGTTACTTACAGAAATCAACTTCAAATAAAAAAAAAAGGCAGAGTTTTCTAGGTGGATAAATATAGCAGCTGATAATACGCAATTTGTACAACATGAAATTAGACACTTTTTCTTTGAGGACTCTGCATCTACACATGGTTCAATTTTCTTACGAAATTCTGAGCGCAAGCCCTGGAATCTTGTGACTGCTTTGGATTCTGACACCGACGACTGATTTTAGGAGTGAAAAAACAACACAGGTGTTTACCTAGAAGCCAATTCAGTCCTAATATTTGACCCAAGAGGACACCGATAGTTATGCCAAGAGAGAAGAAAGTAGCAATACTTCCTTGCAATTTGGTAGGCGCTATTTCCAGTAAATACATGGGAACAACAGCAGTGCCAAGTCCTAGAGAAAAAAGAGTGTTTGATTTAGTTGGAAAATTAATACAAAAGAGGGGAGGAAACATACAATTCCAGTTTCTATCTATATTTTTCCTTTTTGAAACACAGTGATCGCACAGAATTATTGACTGTTCAAAATGATATTCTATTAAGTGGCTGAATTTGTGTGGGACTACGACAGAAAAATAAAAGTTTTTAACGATATAGAATGGAAACAATATGATTTAGATGACTTGAAGGAAAATTGATACAAATAGTATAAATATAATAATGACAAACATTTTCAACCTCCTCATTTTTTCCATGCTTTAAAGTAAAAACAGAACTATTTACACATCAATTCTTCCCCCTCCCCAATTCAAAGGACTTATTCGAATTTGCAGTTGCATGAATCATCTTCAAAATATAAATTCAAAGAGAAAACAAAGAATCTAGGGCAATAAGTAACATCCTGTCTATTGGCTCATTCCATACAAAACTAAATTTGTAGGAGATAGTATAACGAGTATTACCAGCAGAAAGTCCAACAATAACTCTCCCCGCAAACAAAAGCTCTATCCTGTTGACAATTAATGGAGAAAGGAAACAGAAACCAGCCACAGTAGACAATAAACAGCTTACTAACATTGCACCTTTCCTGTTAATGAATACATCAAAGACAGAGAATTATTACAAATAAAATAAAAAATGAAAACTACGCCATGACAAGGACTGTAGAGCTGTAATAAGTATAAGTAACTTGCAAGATTTTAAAAAAATTTAAACTTAGTGATGAAAACACAAAAGAAATTGTTAGTTGGTTAGTTAATTCATTAAGATCAGCTAATATGGCTATTTATTTGGAGTCCAGAGGAATTTGATTTTAAGGTTCAGGATCTTAAAAAATTGCAGAATAACAGTGACAGAGGTGTCTACATCCATATATTATTCTATTTATTATTTCTATAAATTACTTCTATCTACATGTATATATGATAAGATATTTTGTATTGCATTTGTACAATCTTATCCTTTTGTCCTCATTGGCGGATGCAGCAAGTTGGCAATACTATTGTCTTTCCATTCAAACTATTTGCGTGTGGAGGGTATTGATTCTCCTGGTGGGAAGGGGGAGGGGGGGAAGTGCTCAACACAGGTTTAAATGGAAGAAATGTAGTCTTGTCAATTTGCTGCATTCGTCTCTGTATGGCTTTCAGCTTTGGATTAACATTACATAATCAGTTACACAGTTTCATTTTAATCCAGTGGCTCTTGAATGATTGGACAAGGTAAGACACAACTAGAGAACTTTGGATGATTTATACCCTAATTTTTAGGGGGCACTTTTATTTTGGGGAATTTGTGCAAATCACAGAACTCATTATAATTCTTAATTTGAATAAAATCAACACAGAGTTTTAAAAAAGGTAGGTTTTGAAGGTAAAGAACTGAACCTGACGTACCTTCCAATCAGATTTGCAAGCCAACCGCCAATGAAACTTCCAACAACTCCACTCAAGAGAAACACTGAGACAATCACAGACCAAATTAAGTCTAAATCTTTCTTATCTGTGAGCACAACATCATAATTGGCCTGCAAGGTTTCATTACACCAGGCTCGGATTACCTGTTTGTGGAAAAAAATGGGAGAACATTAGTGAACAATAAAATAAAAAATTATATAAAAAATTCAATTACTCCAAAGTAAGTGCATAGATGTAGGATACCGAATGTGGTATCATAGAAAACCTAATTTTCTATAAGAGCAAGAAAACTTTTAACTTTTCTTGCCTTGAACGATAGAAAGGTACCTATGTAATGATTCTTGAGGAAAGCAACAATAAGATCGCTAACCTCTCCGATCTTCCAAATTTTTTGAAAATAATTCAACTGTAGGAAATTATGAGAGGGAAACCAATAAGCAGCACTGTTTCTTGACATACATAAATTTAAAATACGGCTCTAGGCCGATTTTTGAAGATTTTAATCAAAAGTTTGACTAAAGAGATGTTAAGCATAATAAGTTTAAAATGCGCATGGTGGGAAACTCTATGAATCTGAGAAAATATATTATTCTGATTTTGCGACAGTTTGCTCTTGGGTAGTATTGGCAAATGCACACAGGGCAACAACGGCCATAGAAGTTATCAGTAATAATGCAGTATTATGTTCGATCAGTATATAAATATCAAAGTCTGATAGATTTACGCAGGTGACAATGCTGGATTTTGCAAATTACCCTGAAACTTGAAAATAGAACTAGGTACATATTTAGATAACTTTTCAAATTATTTTTACCATAATATTTAGATGGCAGCTAAACAGCTGACATCTCATCCAACTGATTTATGCAACTAACCAAAATTGACAAAATTCGAGATTCACAGTTCAGTGGTTCCACCATTAACTTGCTTTTTACGCTAGGAACTTGGGGAGCCCAAGATTTTCTGTTTTGATTTTTTTTGTTGAGGTTTTCCTATATTATTTAGAACAATGCATTTACAACGGCAGTTCTTGCGATTAATTATGCTTGTTCAAATAAATACACTCAATAGAGGGCAAAACTTCTAGATCATGACAGTAGCCAATAGAATATAGAATTAATTCAAGAGCATGTTTGTTTCATTCCATAAAAATTAGAGTATGTTATCATTTTCCTGAAGAAAGAGAAAAACTTACATCTGCGGGAGTGTTAATGACTCCTATTCCATATCCCATTGGAATTGCTAATCCCATGATGGTAGAAAAAGCGCAAAACATCAGCAAACTTGTCCATCCTTGTTTCTGGAGGTATAAATAGAGTTGATAACATTACCAAGAGTTTGAAAAATTAATCGTTCTTAAATTTAACACTATACATAAAAATCAAGAAAAAAGTCATGCAAAAAATGTAAAGAAGGGTGCACTTTCTCTTGTTCAAATTGGTTTAGGATTTGAAAACCCAACAGATGTTCATAATAAAATGGTAAAAATTTCCTTTAAAGAATGGACTGAGCTAACCTTGTTCTGTTTTTAACAGAGATACTAAGAATATGATCTTCCATCAAAGGTTCAACGCAAATTAAAATAAAAAAAAGTGCTTGGGGGCAAAATAAAACATTTAATCACCAGTGAGTTTGCTACCTAACAAGTCAAGCAAATCCATTTTTATATACATTTTTTAATAATTTTAAAATGCAACCTAAATAAGAATCAACAAAAGGAATCAGTCGTAATTTTATCCAGACAAAATTGGAAAAAATAACAGAGGCTAATTGAATTGCTGGGTGCAGAAATGGCACATCTCTGTTGCAGTGTCTCAGAATCTTCCCTAACGTTTCTTTGATTATAATCAAAGCAAATGTATGTAATTTGTTGAAAATTTTACTCAATGTTTTTCATAATTGGACAATTTTCAAAACTAAATTTTTTTAGAAAATTTACTCAACAGTTTCCTCAATAAAATATGAATTATTGACGGAGATCCTGGTGGAAACCGGTCCATGGGTATTCCATGCATGAAGAACAAGGGCTCAAAAATTTTCTGAAGAAAAAATTTTTAAATTTAAATTTTACAAAACAATTCCTTACTTGCTGAGCTGTCATTCTGCTATTAATATTGCAGACTTCAATTGAACTCACAGGACATAAAATGAAAACAATAATTAAAAATGATTTAGATGCTAACTGTTGCTTAAAAAGAACCTTTTTTGAAAGCAAGAAAAAAATCAAGGAAAGACTTACAATTCTAGTTGGGGTAAAGAATGGTGAGTTGGGAGCTGAGACCAACTGGGTGCTGTCCTGTATCATTTTTTAAAGCATGGAGTACCTATGACAGATTAAAAATATTATATTAAACTCATGAGTACACAGTGTGTAAGAACAGGACCAAGACTCCTTGGAATCCAACACTTCATCTCCTTAGTCCCAGATAAAAAAAAAAAAAAGGATTTTTCAAACTCATTTTTCCGAATCAAAAATGTTCTTCATAAATCTCTAACCTAGCAATCTTATCGTTTGAAACCCTGCGCTCAAAAAAAAAAAAAAAATAAAATAAAACTGCAAAACTTTTGATTAATTTTTCAAATTTCTGATTTGATTCGAGTTTGATACAGGACTAGGTGACTTGATTTTAAAGATTGAATTAAATTCCTGAAGAGGAGGGGAGTTAGAAAGATTAATTCGATAAACTCGACTTGTTCTAGAAAGAGATATTTTGGTAAAACAATTTTGACAGCGATTCTCGTCATTCACACACATTTACACACACAAAAATCAAAGAAATCATGTAACTGTTAACTAACTTATTCTTCCAGATTGAGTTCTTGAAGGTTCTTTTTAAAGACGGTTACTCCACTGCATTTGGGGAAATTCAATAGTTCATAAACTTTGAAAGAACAAGAAATCACCTGAAAGGGTGAAAATGTATACTTTAAAGCCTGTGAAAGTTAGTAGAAATGAATGATTCTAAACACAATAACAGCACAAGACATTTCACTTGCTTGCTTCTTTATTTCTTATTACTGAAAGGAGTGTAACTGAGAAACAATAAGTAATATGCAATTAATTGCTTTTTATTTACTTAGGTGCTTCAGAAAATTCAGTGGAAAGGAGAGCAAGGTAAAATAAAAAAAATAAGCAGTACATGTTATTGTCATGCTGTCATCCTGGAAATATTTGGAGATTACAGCTACAACGTAGAAAGAAAACATACATGAAAGATACAATGGGGAAGAAAATGAAGGTTACTACGTAATAACAGATACATGTTTGCTTTGAGATAAGCACATTCCTAACACCTGTGCCAGTGCGTAACAGATAAAGTCGTCAACATTCGAGGATACAAGGTGAGAAAGATTGTTCTGTCATGATCGTTGAAAATCACACCATGTTGTTATGAAAGTTAAAAACTGAAGGATTAAACAGCTCAGGTGAATGAAAAGTGGCTTACCTACTTTTTGAAATTCGTGCTCAACAAGTTACTATCAAGTAGAGAGAGAAGTGAGATTAAAAAGTATAATACATAATCAGGAATGTGTAAGACCAAGACTTGATATGCTTGATTTTAAAAAGAAATTCAATGGGAGGGTAAATAAAGAGAAATTTGAGGTAGAGAGGGCGAGGAAAAGAGAGGAAGGTAGAAAAAGAACCTTAATAACTACTAAAGCAAATAAAAAACTTGTGAAGATCAACTGTTCATTGAATGAAGTATTATTGATAGGTGAAAGTACTGAATTAAGCTGCAAAATGAAAGGTAGGGGAGAACCGATTTGCAAGATTCAAATGACATGTGAGTTCTGTTCTAATGCATCCTACATTGAAAAAATTCTACATAAAACTTTCAAGAGATAGCGACAAAAATAAACCTGACAGGAGAACTTAGTGATCAAATTTCAAAAACATTGCAAAAGGAAATTAGATTGAAAAGGCCATGGTGCTTGGACGACCAAAAATTGAGGGTGCTTTTCCTTTACAAATTATTAATACTTACAATTTGAGGCAAACTGTTCTTGACGTTTCTAGTGAGTAATAATGGGCTGAATAAAATTTTAAATTTTTTTCACATACACAGAAGTTAAGTCTAGTTTCATTGCTAAAGAAAAAAGCATATCAGTAGTTGATTTTCCTCTGATAGGAAAAATGGTCAAATTTAGGTTACAGAAAGGCAGCATCCAGAAAAATCGAAAAAACAAGGAACTTTTTTTTCTGGTCCAAGCTAAAAGCAAGTCCGGCACTTAAGCATAGCACTAAAACTGCTGATTTTTCTTCTCTGTGCGAAGAAAATTCTGCAAAAACTTCAAGGAATGATGTAAATTTGTTCTCCTTTAAAAAAATAACATGGACGCTGAGATTTTCAGACACTGCCAACAGGATATGTGATTACGGACTTACGCCGTCGACATTCATTTAGTGTGTTAAAGTATTCGATTCCTTTTCAACGAGCGAAGTCTGATTATCTATATCATTACGCTTTGAAGAAAGGAAAAGGCAAAGAGTTCAACATCAAAACATTCAAAATATGTTGCTCCTTAATAGTTAGTTCCACACATGATCTTGACTACAATATTGAAAGTAACTTGAGAGCTTTTGGTGGAGACAGTCAGAAATTTTTATTTTTAAAATTTGTTCCACTTGAAAAATAAATCTATACCAAAAAGAATTTTTTAAGAGCACTTTCCCCTTTACCTTTGATGAACGAAAAGAGAAGTCAAAGCTGTCCTATTTCAATTAGTTTTATTGCGTATAGGATGTTTACAAAAAAAAGTTTTAGGAATATTACCGCTCATTAAAATTATTATAAGAATTTTTTAATTTTATTCTTACTTTTTTAGAAGTTGAAATTTGATAGTGTATAGCTAGTAAAGCATCTTCAAGCTGATGGAAAGCACAAACCAAAGATGCAATGGCTTCTGCAAGTTGCTTTAATGCATTTTTAACAATAAATATCTAGTCATCATCAGAGGCGTAGTATGATAGAATTTAGTATGCTGTTACGGAACACAGTTTCAAAAAAATATAATAGGTTCCAATTATTAAAATAAGCAATGAACACATTCACTCATGCTTACTGACTTGTATACTCTCCTTATCTTCCCAAAAATCTCTTCTTTCTTCCTCTCATGGACAAACTTATAAGTACCTGTGATACTATTTATAACTAGCTGAATGTATTATTTTACTGTAATTATTTTATTATTAAACAAATGAACATGCTGTGTAATAGGCATATTCTTTGGAATCTGCATTCAGTAATGAGATACTACATACTGGCATGTTTATGTTGCTTCTGATTATGACTACATATTTCCAGTTTAAAATGCATTAAAGTGAATCACAAAATTCATTTGATATTTGGTAGTTATTTTCATCACCGTTTCAAAAAGTGCTTAGAAGTCCTTTTTCAGAATAATACTGAAAGAAACCACTAGCTCTAAAGCAGCAGGAATGACACTGCAAAAACTGAAAATCCACCAGTACAGATGACAGTCCCAGACATCCGTTACGTAATGGGATAGTAAAATTGTGGCGATGGAATGACTTGCGACAGCTAAGCAGAAGATGAGTTAAGGAGAACATACTTCAGTTTTGTACAACCCCTTTAATGATGAAAAGAAACGCAAATCTTGTTATTGTTGTTGTTATGGTTTGTGGCGTTGCAGACTTCCCATCACTCATATTCTGGGTAGAAAACTACTAAGCATCATTTCTTGAGAAATTAGGGTGATTTTGCTTATCTACGAGAAGAATATTCTGCAAATGCCCTACATGCAATAAGATCCTTTTTCTTGTGAACAATCACACTTTCCAAAGAACATTTTTTAAAGCTATCATCAATATATTAATTACTCTCTCTTAGAAAAAAAATTGAAAAGGAGAGGATATTTGAAAAACAGCATGTAGGAAACGTGTTTTTTTCTGATTTCATCACGGATAGCTTTGTATGAGGCAGTTGAGAGGTTCAGATTGTCAGCAGAGAAATTAAAAAGTCATTCCACCAAAACAGGAAAGGGATTAATAAAAAAAAGAAAAGTTATATACATAGATGAAAAAAAAGGATACATGTTAGTGACACGCATGGGAAAAACATTGAAATGCCACTGAGAAAGCCGAGCAATTCAAAACCAATCAGGCATAAGGCAGCAGATAACCCAATCAACATTCTGTAAAATTATTAAGGAAGCTGGTTTAAAAAATGACCTTATTACAACCTTCAACGACTAAAGTATGTATGAGAGGTTTCCAATAAAGCCTGGCAGAAATTCAAAAGATATTATGTTACAGAAAATTCAATGGGCAGTATTTTTTTCAAAAAAATGATCTAATTTTTTGAAAACAGTAAAAGCTGTTATATTATAACTTTAAAATATTAAAAAGGCTGATGCTTTAACTATAAGATTACATGTTGATCAGGTCGGCTCGTTCATGTTAACACTTGGAGTTATATACAATTTTAATAGAATCATAATATAATCTCTTAGTGAGAGCATGAGTTTTTTTTTTTTTAAATATTTTAAAGTTTCATTGGACAGTTTTACCGAATTGAGTCAATTCTGACTTTTTGACCTTTAATCAAATAATTTTCGTAGATAAGTACTGTTTTCCATACCAGGTGAAGCTGAGAAAGTTAACGGTGGCCAAAACTATGCAAGAAGGTCAGTAATTCCTCATAGCACTCACAATCCCTTGGAGAATTTTTTTTCCCTTGGAAATTTCTGCATCATATGTTTCCAACTGCTATTAAAAGAGTTTTGATCATGCTGTATATCTGAAGGCATACTTTCCCACAGACGATACATTTATACAATTTTCACCACTGATAATGACTACATCTACTCTATTCAGTGATGTCACTTCTCTTTAGAATTTTAGGAGTCATGCAAAGCTTACAAGCTTAATTCTTAGGAGCTACATAGACAATCTGAAAAGTAAATGCTATAATTATTGCAAATTTGAGCGATCAGATAAGGATATTGACATATCCAAGCAAGAGGTCAGAGTCTCTTTGCTACCCACAGAGCAAACAAAGCAGGTTCCAACAACAAAATGGTAAGTAAAAGCTAATGAAGCATGCATCTTTTGTTGGAAATTTACCTAAATATGGAATAAAGGACTGCCTTCATTTTATGTTGAAGTAAGTACATAACGAAGGCTGTCAGTTACTCTGAAGTAGCTTGCACTGAACACTGAAATTAATTACCGAAGTCTGATTTTACTGGATGACCGATTAACAGATAAATGGTTAGGACAGAAATACTTACTCTTGATCTTTCGTTTTCAAGTCTGACTCCTCATAATCATACGGCAAGCAAGCTTTCAGATTTTCTTCCTGTTCAAATAAAAAGCTATAGTTAATTCTAATATGTGATCTTTTGTTTATTTGTTTTTTGGTGCTCATATAGCTACCGACTCCATAACCTTCCGAAAAAAAAATTCTTTCTAGGGCTCCTTTCAGAGCTTAATAACGCAAAGAAACAATTTTTGTGAAGGGATTAGGTCCCTCGTAAACTCGACTTCCTCACTTAGTGCATCCTACAAATTTGCTTCTATCATTATTTGTATTTTGGCTCTACCTACTATTAAAATGAACGTATTTTAAAACAGAATCCATGTGCACAGGCACTGTAATGTCTGGTAGCTTAAATAGTTTCCATTTTTCCTATAGCCTGTTACATATTAATAACAGAAAAAGATACAACTTCTTCATTTTTGATGTGTTTATGAAACGTCAAGCGAAATTGTTAAGCCCTGTCAAAACTAATGAGACAACTGAATTTAAGAAATTGCTTACTGTCATGAATGAATTGAGGAAAGACACAGTGAATCGATGAACTAAAGAGCAAAGCACTAATCGATGCACTTATTGAATTAGGCGTGTTGGGTGTATTTTACTTGTATCACACCCATGGAGTACATTGGAGCCTCCATGTACTGGAGCGCTGCTGAAGTCAATCCTCCAACTATGGTTTTCTAGCCTTCTGTTTGCTCAGCGTTGGGACTAAGCAAGGACCAACTTTGCCATTTTTGACATGGTGGCTTACAGAGAAATTGCGGGTTGCAAGTGCTTTTTGGGATTTATTAATTTAATAGATAAGTAATTATTATTGCAAACTTTGGAAAATAATGTTGACCAATGTGACGTTCACTCATGTGCAGATCGCTTAGTTTTTGTGTTGTAAATGTTTTACTTTAACATATCCATGGAAGCTAGGAGCTGAGAACTAGCAAATGCAGCACCCCCAGTCGCAGCACAAGAGTCTTAAAAGTACTGGCAAAACAGCCTCAAAATGTGACTTCATTGGCATTCCTGCATGTAACGACTCTGATGAACTTTATGATTACCTACGCCAAAGAAAATAGAGAATAGAAAAAGCCAAACTCACCCGTGACCAAAGAATTATAGCAAGCATAGATAGATGAGAGACAAGGCACAGAAACCGAGCTGGTATTAGTCTATCATTGCAACCCATCACAGTTAATGATTATTAAGGAGTGTAAATCTGTTGTTGAATGCAAAACAAACAAGATTAGGTAAACTCGCAGATGTAAAAAGAAGAGGTAAAAGCAAAGAACAATTTATGCGGCAGATTATTGCATGCAGTTTCAGCGACTCTTGTGAGAGATATTTTACAGCCTGGTAATGACCGTAAATGTCAAGAAGATGACATCTTCAAAACACTAGTATCAACGGTTTCGTAAAGCTTGCTGTACCTAAGGAATACAATTGAGGGGCTTGGAGGACAAGGCGCATACTGCAGTTTTTGCTATTTTGAGAACTACGGCTTTAAAGTAACAAAATTACATGGATCCCTATAGCAAAAAGAAAGTTCAAACTGCCTCTTCGATACTTGAACATTGGAATTTCGGAGCAAATTTTTCTCAGAATATGCTTTGAGACTAGCTTTACTTGAAATAATTGATATTACAATTTTGTCATAAACTGCACTTATGTGCCTTGTCCTCCAAGCCCCTCAATTCAACTATTTATTAGTTAATGGAACACACACGTTTTTGGAGTATTAGTTCAGTCAATGTCAATTCCTGTTACTGAAACCATGTAGGTATTTACATACTTCTGTGCATGTATTTTATCACAAAAGCGTGAAGTTTCCTGATGGACTCTGAAAGTGAGTGAACTTATTTGGCGTGGACTCCAGTTAGGTACATATTGGATTGTTAAGGTGATTTGTCAAGCTCAAAAGAAGTGGACAAATTGGCATGCGATATATCGCATCTTTTAGGTCGAAAAGCTCAGCAGATTTTTAATTTTTAGCAAAACGAAGGACGATAGTCCCTGCGCATGAGCCTAAAGAATCATTCTGAATCCAAAAATCGGCAAAATTCAGAGAAATGAAAGCAGAATATTGTTTGGCAAAAACCCCGCATTCGATACAGAAATCGATTGCTGAATCGAATGCGAGGTTTTTTTCCAAACACTATGCTACTTTCGTTTCTCTGAATTTTGCCAATATTTGGGTTCAGAATGGTTCTTTAGGCTCATGTGCAGGGGCTATCGTCCTTTGTTTTGCTAAAAATTAAAAATCTGCTGAGATTTTAGACCTAAAAGATGCGATATATCGCATGCCAGTTCGACCACGTTACTTGAGCTTGACGAATCACCATAAGGTCAAGTTTACAGACAGCTCGTCTTCTAGGACAATTAAATCTTCAAATTATCCGGGTTGAAATATCGGAAACAAATCAACTGCTGGCTGCAAAATCATAAGGTAAAGTGACATGGCTCAGGAAAAACAGGAGTTGGTCAAGATAAACTTCCTTCGGTGGATTGCAAGAGTGTTGACGTTCAGTTCCTCGTCTGATTAAAAAGGCATTCGAGGATCGAATTGTTGGAAAAGGATGTAGAGACTGATGATACTCACCTCCAGGTAGTAAAAATAAAATATAGCGAAGGAAGTATAATATCACGAAGACTGACAAACCATGAAAAATATCAAAATTTTTATTTAGCGGCTGTCTAAATCACTGTCACATTCACAATCACAATAATCAAAATCAAACAAACGAGATTTTGTTGTTGATGTTTGTTTTGATTAGACAAAAAGTGGGAGGAGCTTGAAAAAGGACCGTTCTGATTTGTCATACTTCGCATGTTGGTTTCTTGGCGCGTTTTTCAAATTGCTGGGTGTGAACATGAGAAGAGAAATGAGCCTTGTCTGTGCCTGGTCTGCGGCGAATTCTAAGCAATATGGATTAATTTAGCAAAGAACACAAGGGATTTTCTTGATGTGAGATTCCTTTAATGTTCTTCATGAGAAGAGTTTTCGTTTCAAAATGTTACCAGTGACAAAATATGGGAACTTTGAAGGGTTCTTTCTGCGTAAGGAGGTCAAATTCACTGCAAAAATCATTCAATTTTTTAAGTGATTGAAAACTTAGTACCCCTCTTCAGAAAGCATTCCCTAATCATTTTACAGAAACTGGAATCAATTGAATAATGATGCTAATGGAGTTCTCTTAAACAGCTAATGAGCACACCCCTTGTGTCTTGTCTGCCAAAAAACTTGTTTCCTCTGATCAGTCAACTTGACCCATCTTAGAATGGATAACTTTTTGAAGACAGGTCGGAAGTTTTGAGCTATCGCCTTGTCACCACGGGACGTTTCACGAAATTTTTCCCAATAAGTTCAAATCACAGGAATGAAATTTCTGGGCTTTTTCCCCGTTAAAAATAATTAATTATTAATAGAAAATAATTTCTTCTTCTTCTTTTGAAGTCGTTCCTGGGACTCCACAAGGACTCTTACAATTACATAAGTTGGTACTGTGATTAGTATTGACTAACTCAATATTTTTCTCAACTTCGCAACTGAGAGTTTTCCCTGAGACAAATCCCATGAAACGTCCCGTGGAGACAAGGCTTTAGTCTTTGGATGGAACCAGATTTCGGGTCATCGGTGCAATTTCTTCGACACTGTCTGAAAAATGATTATTTTCTAAATGGCACTACCAGCAGATTAGAATTCCTAGGATAGATTGAAAAGCAGTTGTAACTTATCTTCAGTGCGTTTATTTAGCGGTTCCTGTCTCCCTCAACAAGATTAGCCCCCAATAATTGAGGAGTGAGCACTTTTTCCTCAGGACCAGTTGACTTCTTCTACAGTGTCACAGCTTAAAACAGCCAGTCTAATTCTGAAGTGCAAAATACATACATTCATTTTGGCATTTCAAAATCTTTGATCATAAGTCTTCTATTTTCATTAGAATGAAGCCAAAATATCTCCTTCAAACTTTCATTTCTGTAAATATTTTTTGATGGCCAAAGAAAATTCACACAAAATTTCAGGGTTAAGTATCATATTCTGATGTATTTGGTACTATGTATCCTAAAATTCTACCTGCCTTGCAAGTTTTTCTTCACAGTTCATGACTGCAAATTAGAACAGCTTGACTGGACGATAGCTAGTTTTGTTAGTTGTGAGGACTGCGATTGATATCGGGAAAAATCTTTGCACCAAGCTCAATGTATACCGACAGGATACCCTCATTTAAATCTACTTTACAGGTAATCATAATTTCGTTTCTGTCTTCATGATCAGATGAGATTTTAACCCTATTTACTTACTTGGTGGGAATAATTGTTTCAGCTGAAAATTCCTCAAAAGGAGGTTATCATGTAGCTCTTTTTCAACATCCGGCCATTGTAATTTTTGCTATAAATGGTACATTTTAATTAGAAGTTTTGAGAAATTTAATCAAGTTGATGCCATGTTCAGCACCACAAAAAATAAATTTCTGCGTTCCTGGCTTAACAATTTTTCCCCATTTCAGCTGGACTTTTCAGAAAAGACATGTTATTCTGACTGAAATTAAGTAAATTTTCTAGACACATTTTGTGCATCCAATTCGAATAAAACAAAAATGTTCAAACCAGCAAGTTTGTAGAACCTGAATAATGGCATTGAAATAGGTGAAATCGACGATTTTGTTAAAGCACTGTTCAGAGATTGAAAATGGCAGATCTCAGACAACAAAAATGACTGATTTGATTATCTCCAGAGTAAGGGCACCATTTTTACCTTCAATTAAAGTGGACACTTTATAAGGTATAAACAAAGAGAAAGATCTGAAAAATTAAAACTAGACAGCAATTAAATCAACTTATTGTTTTTAATAAAAAAATACAATTTCAAAACTAACAAAATTCATATAAATTATAAAAAGTGAAAAAAGGGTTTATTTAACAATGATAAAACTCAACAGTCCCAACTCACAAAATTACGACTGAAACATGTAAATGACTATATTTCCTATAGAGGAAGGGGGGGAATCGTGAATATGTTAACTGTACTGCATGTCAATATTTAAGAAACTCCTGGGAAATACTTAGAGTAAGAAGATGGTGCCCATGTTAAGAGCTGTGGGCAAATAAACCAACTCCAAGAAGAGATCAATTCAAGGTATCAAAGGGGATTTGTGGTGACACACTTTGAAATGAGAAAGTCTAGAGGCATTACTCTTTAAAGTAGTAAATGTTGGATCATTGTGCGGAAGATGTGATTTTGGCACCATTTCATGAGTGCAGGAGAGCCGCAAAAAGATATAAAATCAAGTACAATATGGCCCTTCAAGAGTGCAAACTACAATTCAGCCTGAATTAAGTGGTGAGAGACACCATAGAACTGAATTTTACACTGCTTCCCACACAGAGCTTCTCCAGGACAAATATTGTATGAAAAAGTACACAATCAATAATCACTGAGAGTTAATTCAAAATAACATCGTATCACTAAACCTTTGAAGTTCCGCAGGTGTTCCTACACCAAATCATGTTTGCAATGTGAGTGTAAATGAACTATCAACTCGGACTGAAGAATAGGAAAGGAATGTTAAAATTTTAAAGGGTGAATACTTTAATATTAAGTATGCACAGGAGAAGTGTATTTTTGAAGTATTTACAACACGGTTGTCTCAGAATTTAGAAAATGAAATTCCCTGACATTTTCCTGATTTATATAACACATTTTGGTAAAAATCCTTAATAATTGAAGATATACCAGATGGTTAAAAAGACATAATTTGGAATTGTTTTCAGGCAAAGTTTGTGTTCAAAATGTTAAACCCATTCTAAGAAGCAAAGAAAGATGACTTAGCAATTTTGCCTGACATTTTTGTCATTTCCCCCGACGTTTACAGGTTTTCCCTAATTTTTTTAAAGTCCCTGACATTTCCTGGTATTTCTCGACTGTGGCAACCTTGTCACAACAAGACTTGCAAGACTTGTCTCCCAGATATCAATGATTAGTGCTGCTAGAGCAAATGACTTCTGTAAAGAGGGAGAAGCGCCTTCATTCTACAGGGCGATTCAAAAATCCCGCACAACCCTTATAACCTCTAGGGTTCTTGCCCCTCTGCGGGATAATCCCCTTAAAAGTCCAAGGGTCCATTGACCTAGGAGCAATCAGAAAATTTCAAGTCCATCTTAATTTGTTCAAAACTTACAGGGATAATGCTGAAAGCTGATCGAGCAGACTTATAAACCACCCTGTAGAAGAACTTAAGCAAAGATATTGTTTTAATTTTTATGTAAATAAATCATAAAGTGTAAAATCTCAAATGAAAACATGAAAATTTGAGAAAAGTGTAAAATCAAAGCAAGTTGGGGTACACTATTATTGTGTGGAACTTGTTCTGTATTGTGTTATAATTCTGGAGCAAAATACGTAAAAATATTGATGGCACAAAGAATCAAAATTTGAACTCTTTCTTTTACACTGAATTGGATAAATTGTGCGTTTAAAATATTTTTAGCATCTATTGACCTTTTACATCTTTTTCTCTTCTCTTACGGAATCTTATTTTCACTGACATCGGACCAATCGCTGATTTAAAGCAAAAGTTTAAATTAAGATCAAACCTAGAAAAATTTCCAGAATTTAATAAGAATAATAAGTTACCCAATTTACTTTTTTAGTATACATAGTATACAAAAATATTCAGTACTCACATAAAAATATGAATTCTATTACATTATAATAAAAATTTTAAAAAATAGATGGAACACATTGAGTGAACGCATTGGAGATCATTTGTGAAGGGAAACCTTAATATAAAATTCGTACAAGGCTACCTATTTTGTATCAGAAGGTGCTGAGAGATCTGTGATGGGCCTTCCGTAAGTTTCATTGAATGATTTGATAAAATCTCTACAGCTCCGACATGACAGTAAATTCTCACGAATCTTCTTCAATAGACTAAGATATCGTTTGTGACGCCAATCTTTTGATTTTTTGTAGTGACACTCTGAAACCAGCTTGTCTACCGTGTAGTGCAGCCAAAATACATTCGTTCTTGGATTAAAAGTGCACCAATCATCACTGTAAAATTGGGAAAGAACATCATTGATCATAATGATACATAAATAAAGTATGAACTGAATATATTGTACATAGTCGATACAGTGATGAGAATTTCAGTTTTACACAGATTTTTTATGCACATTAGAAAAACAACCAACTTGCTTGTCAAAACGACTCGTGCGTTAAATCACTATTTGATTAGTTGAAACACTGCCTTGGCAGGGCTGTTTGGATAATCTATTCACTAGATGGCAGTAGGTTCACTTGCTATCACGGTCACACGCCCAAATCTCGGTTTGATTTTCAAAACCTCTGCTGGCTCAGAAGTGGAAAATCAGGATGCTGTCTGCGTTGATGACAGGTACAGTTTAACTCAATATCGTCTGCAGTTGCCTTCCTAATTGGCCCTAACTAGTGCTGCGCCGCACAGTATTTCCCTAGGAGCAGAAATTGTGCTCAAATGAGCTTTTCTCCTCTGTGGTAGAATTTCCAAGTGGTATACGTTGAGATGGGGAAATCTGGAAAGTTTGATCAGTGCAGTTCAGGGAGAATAAATTGTTAATAAAGACCATAGGCGGTTGTGAAACATCCTTAATAAACTGCCACAACTTGGCCAATATTCGTTCCAATGAGCCTCAATCAGTTGCTTTTGAAGTCTCTTTTCAAATGAGATAGAGGTAATCTTGATAGGGTGTTATAGTAAGACCTCGATTTATCGGATTTCATGGGACCGGAGGCCGAATCCGTTAAAGCGCAGAATCCCCTAAATCGCGTTAGTCGGTCCCGCTGAAGGGACCGGAGGATCGATCTGTTAAATCGCGGAATCCGTTAAATCGCAATCCGATAATTCGAGGTCTTACTGTAGATTTTTTAATCAGAGTGCCAAAGTGGATCATTTTGGGTCATTCTGTATAGTTTCAGCCTCCAAATAAGATCTTCAAGTATGTCCTAAAAATCCAAAATAACTCAAAAGTATTACATTGTACAGACTTGAGAGAGAAACAAAAATTAACTTACTTGTTCGATTCTTTCATCATTCGATAGATATCAAATTGATAATCCCCTTCAGACATAAACAATTCCGGGTCATTTCCAAGGTTGAAATAAACTACGTACTTGCCCAGCTCATGTTTAAACGTAGTCCTGGACAGAGTAAAGTCAATGACGGTGGTCTGAAAGAGATCAAAATGAGGGGTTCCATTATTTAAACTGCAATAGCTTGAACAAAGAATTAGCTGTCTGAATTGTGAAATCACAGATCAAAGAGAACAGTAAAGTTGGCCTAAAACATGATTTTGTTGGCCCATCAAAATCATCATTTTCTTTGGTTTGTGTGGACTTTTGTACAACCTTAGAAATCCAATACCTTTGTAAGACCTTGTGTTAATTGTCTTGGTCGAATGGATTGCATTAATTTGTTTTGAGAGCTACTTTTCAGAATCATATACAGACGTGGTGTGTGAGGATTTAGGAAAAATTATTTAAGAGCATTATTTCTCGGCGAAATGATGAACATTTTCCTATTTTCCTAAATAATGATGAGCAATTATTAACACGCGCAGGGAAATATCAATTTCAAGCACTTCCTCTAAAATAGGTCATACAGTTATGAGTTTCTTTTCAAAGTTTCTGGCTAAACTGAGAAACAATATCTCTTGACAGCACTGCTTTAAAATTTCTGCTCCCATTTCATATTATAAAGGGATACAAGCCATCTTCATTATTTAAAATTTTTGCAGAATATGCTTCAAACAGAAAATAAATTGTACATTTCCAAGAAATTACATTGGTAAGTTTTTCTGCTAAAAAATAACACAGAGTGCTATAGTTTGACAAAACACTTCACAACATAAAATTCAAAGACATTTAAGAGCATTTATGCCGTCCCCACTGAATTAAGGATTTTAAAGGAATTTCTGAGACATCAAATAATCTTGCGATAAAACTGGAGACAGAAACCTGAGCTAACTTTAGGAGGGACAAGAGGTTAATGACTACAATATACGGAAAAAGCCCGCTAACCTGTACACCATGCATTGGGATGCTGTATTCTACTCCGTCGAGGACGAACGGCATCAGTCGCTCCTTTGTTGGTTTGATAAGGAGGTTACCCCAGTGAAGGTCCCTGTGTTCAAATTCGACCTCTGTTTCGGCAACCGCTAAAGCGAAGGCCAACTGAAAGAAGAAAAAAAAATAATTAACACCAAGAGTTTAATTAGCATCGACTCAAAATGTACTTTTTCCTTCATTTACAAAACCTTACTGAAGGATAAAGAACCCTGAAACACCAATGAGAGGTCAGTGGCTCTTGATGTATTCTGACAAAACTTAATGAATTTCTTTTTAGGTCCAAAGCCAAACAATTACATGAATTGTACTTGTAAGAGCCAAAGGAGGAATTCTGAGTCCTCCCTTCCTTCCTCCTGGCTGTTCGGAACTCATGCATACCTTCAGTAGATAAGCATTGGCTAGATTGGCNGGGGGGGGGGGGATCTTCTCTGTATTAGCTGATATGTTCCAGCAACTTCCAGTATTATCAGCATTGACCATTTTGACAGAGGAAGCCCAGTCACATTCCTAATCTTCGAACGGAAGGCACCAACTGCTTGCTTCAGACAACTCTCCTCTGCCATCTTCCCTGATTCAGTCTTTCCCTTTCTTTAGCCTTGCATCGCTGATTGAAACGTCCACTTGACAGAAGACAATAAACGGCCGTAGGTATCTGGAAGGAGACCTCTTTGCTCACTCAAGTGTACTAAGGCAAGGAGAGGTAACAGTGATTTCTGTACCTTCACCGCATGGAGGATAGTCTAAGTTTAAACGCAAATATTTTGCCTCTTACACTTGCAATTCAAGTAGTTTTTTGGCTTGGGTCTACCACTGGCATTGCAAGCTTTGAGAGGAGGAGAAAGGGTGCGGAGAAAATATAAAAATAAATGGGTATTAAAATACCGAAGAAATTGGAAGCAAGGATGCATCAAATAAACTAAGGTGAACATGGTGGAGAAATCTAAAGAGCCTCCCAAAAAAGGGCCTTTTTTGGCCCCTTTTCTGAAACTCGGGGATTTCATTCAAATGTGGCCTAAACGAAACCTTATGATGACCTAAGACTCCAGTAAAAATTTTAGCTTGAGTATACGTCTGGTTTCGGAGATACAGCGTTGCAAAGTTTGCATATTTAAGCTTTAAAAATCTTCATAGTTTCAAATATTATCTTCCTAAAACCAACATCAGAGTGAACTTTACAATCTAAAACAAAGCGTAAATGAGGCATAATGATAAAAAAAGCCTCCATCAAAAGTTTTAGCTCATGCATGCTCATGCTGTTTTGGTAGTGCAACGTTGCAAGTTTACCTTTCTGAGCTTTAAAAATGCTCATATTTTTAAGTTTCTTGTTTAAAAACCAATTTTAGTGAATATCAAACTGCGTTTTGAGGGATAAAATTAACCCCTAGTGATACTTTTGGATGCCTAGTTGCATTGATAAAAGGCTACAATGATTTCAAGTAACACAGCGTTGCACAGTTTACATCCTAAATCTCTGAAAATGTCTTTTCTCTTGTTTTCTTATAAGAGACAACTCCGATCAAACATGTTTTGATATTGTAAAGTGAAATACAAGGAATCTTGTTAGTTCTAAGTGACAGTTGGTGTAAAAAATGACACTGTTGCCTATTTATCTTTTTTATCTCAACATTTAATCATAAAATAACATTAAAATTAGGATACTTCCAATAATTATCTAATTTCAAAATCAAATTCAAGAGACTTTGCCATGCTCGATGAAATGCTCGCAGCACCAGCATTGCTTTCAAAATCCAACAAATTATGCCTCGCCATAGTTGCCAATTTAACCGTTTTTTAAGTAAAATGAAAAAAATAAACATAGAATAAAGAATTTGCCGAGTTTTTTTAAGTATAAATAAATATTGATCTAGAGAATAAATTTATTATGCCTTGCAAAATAGAGTACCTCCACTGTTTTTTTTTTTTTAAAAAAATGAAAAAATAAAAAATATTGAAAAAACTTGAAAAAATTAAAAATATTGAACAAATTGAAAAAATTAATAAAATCAAATAAAAATTAAACAGTAAAATAATGTTAAAAAAAAAAAACAAAATCAAGTATCAATTATTGGAGGCATCTTTATTTTAAAATAATTTTATTATTAATTGTTTGAAAATAAGTATTAATAAACTTAGCAATAGTATTTTTGCGAATACCAATCGTCACTTGGAACTGACATCAGCCCTCGACAGTTTTCCTTGATATAAGGCCTGACACCCATTGACGTCCTCTTTAACTAGCATAAATAATAATTTTGAGAGTTTAAAGTTGTTAGCTTGGCAACGCTGTATCACCACCAATTAAAGTATCCCTATTTAAATACAAACATAGAGCTACAAATGACACATTTGGTAGATTTCATGCTTCAAATTCTAAAGAAGATCCACGAAAGTAGCTTTTTAAACGCGGGACTTAGAAATATAAACATTTTTAAAGCTCAAATGTATAAACTTAGCAACGCTGTATCATTAAATCTGTACTTACGCTTGCGGTAAGGCCTATACAAAAGACTTATCATATTATAAAGTAACATCTAAACACCATACACAGATCTTTTGGTGATCAATAAGTTCGTTTCTTCATTCAGAAACTTACAAAAATGAGCAATTTTTATAGGTCTTTGGTGTCAACTTTGCAACGTTCTATCAAGAGAATCAGCAGTATCATCGTATCAATAGGAATATAGATTTAAAGATAAGACTGACTGTAGGTAAAATGTCACAAAATAACAGATTATATCTGATGGAGTTGTTTTTTAAAATAAGATATTTGAAAATATGCGAATTTTTAAAGCTTAAATATGCAAACTTTGCAACGCTGTATCTTGGAAACCAGACGTATACTCAAGCTAAAATTTTTACTGGAGGCTTGTCTCATCGTAAGGTTTCATTTAAGCTGCATACGAATGAAATCCCCGAGTTTCAAAAAAGGGGCCACTTTTTGGGAGGCTCTTAATCTTTCTCCGCAAATAAAATATGTGCCTGGCTAAAAAAAGACTGAAATCTTGAAAACATTCACAATGATGTTGCCCACCAAACAAATAACTAACTGAGATAACAGTTTTTTAAAAAAATTGCATAGTAATCACACTGAGCACATTAAAATTATTTTAAGTTGACAATTTAGCGTACTCTTGAAATCTTTGTTCTCAGACGATTTGAATTGTTTTGAAGGATACCTTTCCTTTTTAATTATAATAAAAGGCATAAATTAATGCTTGTAACAATAAAACTCATATGTATCATCAAAAGTCTACACGAGGAGAAATCCTTTCGCAAATCCCCCAAACTAAGTGAGCTACGGCTATAGCCCCCTGGAGTCTTCAACATTCATCACCAAAAGGTTCAGGCGTTAACACCATTGAGTACTTGGCAACATAACCTTCAAATTTTGCTGCAATGATGAAGATACGAACACTTCAGGGGAGCAACCGAATCCCAAAGGAACATTGAAGTATTAAGTGCTGAAGTCCTTGGGAGGCCATGGTTTACAAAGTATGGTGTAAGCACGGAAAGCTTTTTCTTTGTGTAGAGCTTTTAGCACTGCTGGGCATTTATCATGGAGGACTCCATTTTGGGACAAAAATCTAATTTTTGATTGAAGCTTAATTGGGCTAAAATCAAATAAAGAAATAAAAATTAAATAACATCAATGCGTATGGATCGTATTCAATACATCAAACAGGTGAGATTGTATCGATATCGATCGGTTCAAAACGTAAACATAGCCTCAAAAGTCGATTGAGTAATCTGATGGAACAGGTTTTTTGTTATAGATTTTTGATTCGTATGAGTACTAGTTGGCCAAGAGTACTTAGTGAAAATGCACCAAAATTTTTCATTTTCAGCTTTTCTGACTAGTATCCTAAAATTTTGGTTTGAGGTTATTGTTTTGAATCAAACGATACATCAGACCACTATCGAATACCAACATTAATTACAAAAACTTGCCATGGTGGTCTTCACTTGCGAATAAAAATCTCCTCAGGCATGAGTGCATTACGGTATATGTTTTAGTGCTTAAGCAAGTAACTTTGAGATAGTTACAATAAAAAGTGATCTTGAAGATGGCGGATCCCTTTGCCAAGTTGAAAAATTACTTTTAACAAATTTGGTACATGGGACCCTCTCTGGTATCATAGATAACTAGTTAGTTTACTGATCATAATTTAAAATTTGACAAGGATACATATCTGTTAATGACAACGATAGGGAATAGTAACACATGAAAACATCAGATCCTGTCAGATAGAGCTACATTATTTCAGGTCTCCAGTTTTCATATTCTTGAAATGAGTAGAAGCCTTCATTATTAATTAGCCTAGGTATCAACTTTTTTGCGGAGGGTTTTGCTGCACTTTCAGCTTTAATCAATGGAAGCAGCTTATTGTAGAGCCCCAAAAACACTTTCATACTTTGAAGCAGGGGTAAGTTTCACATCATCCTGTCCCCTTGTGTTTTAGTTATGTACATCAGCTAAGTTTTCAAACTCTTCAAGATTTTCTTTTAAATAAGTACTCTCATAAGTAGAGACTAGTAATTGTCTTTATCCCTAACTCTTTAAAAGCGTTTCCCCAGGATTCTTGATAATTCAGTCCGAGCATCTATTGTGCTATTCTCTTTCATATCTTGGATACTTTGTCTATAAATTTTGCATTTCCCTAGAGGGAAATGTTATAGTTTATTACAGATTGTGCATGTGCAAAACCAATCAATTTGAGAGTTTTAGTTGTGAGTGTAACCGTGAGTTGTTTCATTACATATATAGACTTAGTTTTATACATACATTATCTAATCGCAGGTCCCACCTTAGTTCATTATCAAGCATTATTCCAAGAAATTAACTTCCTTTGCCTCCTCCTTTACAAAGGCTGGTTGAAATTTCTCTAACCTTGGGTATTGAAAAAGCATAACTTCAGTCTTATCAAGGTTCAGAATTAGCTCTAGATTGCTGAAGTATTGTTCAATTTCTTTCATGACTATGTGATAGCCGACCTCAAGATTTTGCAAATTCAAGGCACTTAATATTATGGACATATCATCTGCATACTGGGTTAGCTTTTGCTTCTCTAATAATCCGTACATATCGTTAACGCATAGAAGAAGGAACAAAGGTCCAAAGATGCTCCCTTGCAGAACCAACACCAATAACTCTAAGTATTGATTTTGCATTGCCCTTGGTACCCTTAATAAGTGCAAAAAATATTTTGGAATTTTCAAGGAATAAAACTATGTGAAATAATGTATGGTTTACTTAAGGTGATACCTGAACTGCTTTAGGTACTAGACATCTTTAATAATCCTGAATTGGTAACACATTTCCACTTGAAAATGTGGATGATGAGTTTGGCTTTTTTAACAAATTTTCTAAGAATTCAGGCGAAATTTTATCCCATGACTTTTCAAGCTGACGATCTTGTAAATGGATGAGCTTATTCCAAGAAAATATAAAATCTATCTATGCCTACAGTTTACAGAAATTTCAATGTTAGTTGTACACACAAAAAGTAAGAAAGTAAAAACTAGGAGAAGAGAAAGTGCATAATATTGACTGAATTTTTTCCTGATGAAGATGGCGGTGTTCTGTGCAAATCCTGTTCATGGAAATACCAGCCTGAATGAGTGAAAATCTAGTCATGAAACAACACAACATGGGCCAGAAATCCACCCACTCAAGCCAGTAAATCATAAGTACAACCCTCGGAAGGATGAATATCTTGAAACTGGCAGAGATTCCATTCTCAGTCACACGTAATGCAGGAGTGCGCTGAATTGTTCATCTAAGAGACCTCTAAAAAGTATGAAAAAGAAATTCGTAGGTACAGGTGTAATTTAAACCATCCACAGGAAAAGGGACCACAATCCTCAAAAACCCTACATTGAGTTATTGATATTACAGTACAAAGGAAAGCTCTGAAGACAAAAACGCCTACAAATGTTGAATCAAACCGGAGTTGAGAGACTTTGAAGTTTTGAGGGGAAAAACATGTTTTTGAGAAAACACTATTTATTATTCTAAATTTTCATACTCTGAGCACAAATTGCTGACCCCACAATAATAGAGCATTTTTGGTCGAAAACTTAAATTCTGATTCATCAATCCACTTTACAAAATTCACACTTCTAAGAAATTTGACTTTCAGCACAAGGGTATTTTCCTGTGGACAGACTCAAATTAAGGCAACTACAAATTGGAGTTTCAAGAGAGAGAAAAAAAGAAAAAGAAGAAGAGAGAAGGCAAAAAGAGAATGACTTACCTGTAGAAATGCTGAGTAGGATTGGTAGGCACTTGTGAATTCGAAAGATTCCAGGTCTTTACCAGCATTTTCTAGTTTCAAAACCACATACAGTTGTTCCTCATCGAACATATCAGGTCTATCATTGTAAGTTTCTGCACAAAAAAGCATAAACATAGAGGTTCAAGGTATAGCTGAAAGATAATGAAGAGGAAGGAATATTAAATAAAGGGTGGATATTTGCCAATTTGATTAAATACTAGCATCTTAGACTATTATTAGGATACTAGGGGGCTTCGCCCCCTGCCCGCTACGCAGCCCAACCCCCGAAGGCCAGCTTCGCGGCCAGCAAAATCTCAAAAGAAAAAAGTCCCAGTATCATTTATATTAAAAAAAAAGGAAACATCAATCAACAACTAAGAATGAAATAATGAGAAACATAGCACAAGCCAACTATGAAGGGAATAAAGAGAAACAGAGGACAGAAGTCAGAGTCAACATCAACGCGAAGGGGAACAGCAGCTCCCAATAATCAGAGCTCTTGAGAGCAAGCGACTTAACTGATTGCAGTTAGCAGCTGAATGCTCCCTGCTGCTGTGCTGGCCTGACTCCTCTGATTGGCCTGCACACCTCATGCGATCCCACTTACAGATGTTGGAAATCCCCTTCCTCGACCCTCGCCTATTGATCGTCTTACTCCCCTTCCTCACCCCGTCCATCGAGCATCTTAAAAATGATTTTATTACAATGGAGAGGATTAATAGGATACAGGACTAAGGATTTTAGGGAGAGAGATAGCCCCAGAGTAGGCAGAAGGAGATAAGCAGACAGACACTTGTTACGTTTTCCCTTATTCACATCAGACTATTTCTCGAATGCCTTGTTATTTTTGACTCTTTAGCGCCAAATAATTGAAGCGTTCTGGGCATATTGTGCAAAAACGGTGCATCATAGAGAGTTGGTACAATGATCACTTTTAATCAGCATCTTGAGATTAATTGAATGCAGTAAAAAAATTAAAAATTGATCGTGGTGCACTTTCCCACAGGAGGGGTCCTTTTCTTGTAACCTCTTAACTTTGATGACTATCCCTCACTTACATTCTGCGGAGATGAATGTCTTCGGACCAAAAATTGACTTCAAAATTCTTACTTTCTTTCTCTGCATAGATGTCCCACTGCTCGATGAGGATAGGAGGGTATTTCCCACACACAATATTGACTGCAAGTACTTGATTGAAATTCACCGTGTTGTTTGACTCCGTATGCCTCAAGTCTGACAGGACCCTGAAATGACATCAGTTAAGTTATTGGGGGAGAGGTAAGAGAGTCATACAAAATATAAGGCTCTCTATTTCATACCTAAGTGCTACCAATATCAAACAGATAGATCGAATTGGTAAAAGAGACTAGTTCAGCACATTCCCAAGTTTTTGAAAAACTGTTGAGGGGCTTGCAAGAAAATTAACTGAAGTCAGTTCTCATTGCCTTGTGCACATGTGCTCATAAATTGATATCTAGTTGATTGACTAAAGTATATGAGCCTAAAATTATTGGTAGAGCAGGGTTATGTACGTTATTTGAAATTACGATAAGAGGTAAACACATGCTGAATGTATGTACATGCGGAGTGTAAAACTTGCATTCTTAGCGCCTTCTGCTTTTTAGGAAAAAGAGGGGCTTTAAAGGGATCCACCAATGCACTGGACCATGGGCATGCAGCGACAGAAATTGGTTCAGGTGGTGGGTCCAGTTGCATCCCACTTATTGACCTATCAATCATGATAAGATTCTCTTCTATTGCGGGCGTATCTGTTGACTTCTGTTACAGTTTAGTTTCATGATTGCTCTTTCTTTTCCTACTTAAAACGTGTTCATAGGTTTCCTTTGTTATGCATAGTTACTACTCCTTAATGTGAACATTTTTGCACCAGCGGCTATTCTAAACTATTTCCCTTGCCTATTCTCCGATTCACAGCAGACTATGAGGCATGTAACATGTAACTTACTGTGCGGTAATTATTTCTGATAAGACTTCATGGAATTTCTTCTGCCTCTCCTCATTGACGATTTTATCTCCTTCTATGGGGATGATTTTTATCACACTGTTGTTTTGTGTTTGACCGAGAAGAAACACTTCGCCGAAGACTCCTTCTCCTAATTTTTTGCATTGCCTTAGAATCCTGCAAGAATATAAAAAGAAATCAGCAATGATAAGTCCAGGCCAGGCAAACAGTCCACAGGGGCCTGGTTATGCATACATACCATGTAGCATGAGTGTGGCAGTAATCGGGTAAATTTCAACACCTTGGTCTGAGTTTCGACTGTGCGCCAAAATGTTTGTGCTGTATCGTTACTGAATTTGGAAAAAATGGCTTGAAATTGGCTTTTTTATGGCTTAGGCTGATATTTCCAGAGAAGAACGAAAGCTCAACTTCAAGATGTCAAAAATGACAGGATTTTTCGAATTAAGATTGTCATATGATAGGAAGCTTTAGCTCTCCTCTACCGAGGGTTTTTTGTAGTACTTGGACTTTCCTCTTATACATAGTGATATAGTGAAACATAGTTTTTCCAGTTCGGGAGATACTCCGTTTCAGTTAAATTTTTTCACACCTCTTTCTGGGCAAACCTGATAGCTGGCAACTAAAAAAAAAAAATGCTTACTGATGCAGAAACATTGAAAAAAATCTAAGCAAATTGTGTATTGCAGTAGGTATTTTAGATATGACTGATAAGCTCCATGTCATTTTTGTGAATATTAACTTAGGTAGAGAAGTCTTCTCAGTAGGCTGGATCTCCGATGTGGAACAAATCCATTAATACAAGAAATATCGGCTAACAAGGATATGGATTGAGATGAAAAACTTGCTTTTGAGGAAAATTTGCAGTGACTTACTTGTCTGAATAGAGCTCACTAAACTTGAGAGGTCCATCCTGATGGCACCTTTCAAAGGTTAGTTCCTTGGCAGAGATCTTTTGCAGTAAATGATCTAATGCTACCTCCTCATCAGGCACTTCTTGAAAGCCTATTTGAAAGAAAATAAATCATTTGCATTGTAATAATACCTAAAAACACATTTTCCCAATTTAAAGAGAACTGTTCGACTGACTTATTTAAAATATCTGTTCTTAGTGAGACGTGCACTGGTCTGTTTTGCATCTATGAGCTCCGTACTGTCTTATTTCTGATGCAATCCCTCTGAAAATACCAGACGATCTACATCAGAAGTCCATCTCTGGTGCTTCTGAAACCTCCTGGATTTGCTATTCCATCAGTATTTTACACCTTTAAGTTTCCATACCAGGAAGTCTACGGACTCAGATGAGAGAAATTCTCTGACTTTTCCAAGTTTTCCTGGATCATGATGTTCAAATTTCCCTTCCTTTCTACATTTACAATTCCCACGCATAGAGCTAAAAATAAACAATTTTTAGTGTTAATTTCACCGCAAGAGGCAGAAACATGTGAACCTCTTTTTTTTCAGATAAAAATAATTCAATTGACTAAAATTTAAATTCTCCATTAAAACTAAATTCTCTGACACTTTCCGAATTGCAACTTGCAGCACTGAGCCTGAATTCGGTCTGAGGCACAGTTGGACTGTATGGACAGCACTAATGTTTTAACAGATTTCAAATTTCAAGTTTTCTTACAATTTCCAGTCTTTTTCATTTCTTGAATCATTCATTTCATCATCCCTGACAATTCCTTGTTTCAAAAACCTGTAGACACCCTGTATCCACTTTACTAACATGTTGTACGGCTTATTTTTTTTCTTTGAAGATACTTTCGCCTCCAAGGACTAAGCGCTATCATTTCATTTCTGTCAAAACATAAAATGGACCGAGTTTAACAGAAAGGAAACAAGCCACATCAGTTATTGCCAAATTCAACGAGGCAAATTAATTTTTTACAAAAGAAGGTTTGTGCGGATTCCTTTGAAAATTACAGGGAATTTGGTTAGTACTATGCAGAAAATTCACTGAAATTTGCACAAAAATCCGCACAAACGTTTTCATGGAAAAAATTAAATTGCCCAGTTAAATTCGGCAATAGCTGATGTGGCTTGGTTCCTTTCTGATTGCACTACTATCACTACCTCAATGGCAGGGAAATAGATCAACTTTTAGGGAGCTATGGAGAATCACTGAATATTGATCGAAGGAAACTCCAAGAAAAACCCAAAAATGCACAAACCTGAATTACAAAAGGATATTCCCATCAAACAAACATGAAAAAATAAAACTTAAGGGTGAAATAAAGAATGTAGAGCTTTGATTGACAATGGTTCTGAAACCTTACAAGATCTCAGGTATCGTACAGGAGGTGAGAGGGTGAGAAAAATCAATATCAACAGAAGTAGACAGCCATGTCCAGTTCAAACTTCAAATTGGACATTATTGAGAAAAGTGGACCTACTTACAATGGAAGATTAAACAACTAAAAGTCTATGGTGCTTTAGTCTATATATGTACTTTTTCACTGAATTGACAGTGAATTCCCCTTGAGGATGGACAGTTTTATGACATCCAATCAATACACATTAACTCAGCTAACACCTCATTGCATTTAACTCATCTGGCATTGACTTAAAATGAAGCACTGAGAAAAAATGTTGATGGGTAGCTTTGACAGTGATTCGGGTTGTCTTCTAGGTTAAAGTCAAAAATTAAACATTAATAAGTAAAAGGAAATTGAATAAAAGAAGAAAAAAAACTTACTTTCATCATCTTGGATTTTGCTGATGTCCAAGAGCGTTTTTTGAGAGATATCTTGGATTTCAGTGTGGTTCAAAAGCATCCTTTGAGAGACATCTTGGATTTTGGTATCACATAAATGACTTTTGTACAGATAATCCATGTTTTGTGTAAAATAATCTGTTTGGTTTGAAAATTGCGTGGTCTCATGCAGGAAATTCAAGCTTGAGCTGTTAGAAGCTTTTGACAAGTTTAATTTTTGTGACTCTCTCCTGGCTCTGAGGAGGGAGCGTCTATAAAGTTTGCCTGTCTCCAAAACAAAACGGTTGGCTGTTGCTGGAGCATTAATGCTCATGTTGGAAGCAGTTGTATCTCCCATTATCGAAAAATTCATATTTGAGGTGCCCAATTTGGAATGAGCCGCCAATGAGAATCTCGTATTCGAGTATCTTTCAATAATGGTGTCTTCTTGAATTGTTGCCATCTGTACATAGAAATTCGGTTCTTTTTTTTGGTATTTACTGATAGGAATCATAGGAACAAAGGGTTTCTTAAAACCATCATCATCTTTACTTTTTGGAGCGATTAATGTTTCTGAATTGCGGATGGTTGAGGTATGACAAATTTGTTCCGTTTCGCTTTTTCCTGAAACTGAGTTTTCAGTTACATCACAGGATTGCCCTGACTCTTGAGTAGATATAATTGAATCTAAGGTGTCACTTTCTTTTTGTATAGTTTGAATTTTACTCCTACAGCTGTGAGTTGACGATTGTGAAGACTGGGATTTTACATCGGGGTTTGAAGATGAGGGTGAGGAACAACTGGAGCTACTAGATAGAGAAATGTTTCGTAAAGATGTTTCGATATGACTCAGGGCGTTGCTGGTATCCTGTGAAGATTTGCCACTTATTGAACTGATTGAAACATTGGGCAGACCACTTGAGGAAGGCGATTCTCCGGTTTCCAAGTCAGAAGAATATGATGAAGGGGATGCTCCTATTTCACTATAAGAGGTAGAGCTGACAGATGCATTAGGAGTGCTCATAGCTAGGACTGAAGACTTCTTCCTCCTACTTGACAAGCTTGTTTGCAAAGAGGAAATATCAGACATTGAATCAGTGGATAGCGATAGAACAGAGGAGGGCGATTCGGTCTGGTGGCTCAATAGAGATTTGGTGCTGTGAGTTTTTGAGCTATTTGGTGAATCAGCAAGTGAGGTGAGAGAAACATTTTCACTGATGGAGGAGCTCTGCACGCTTGCCTTTAGAGATTTTGATAGAACGTGTTTCACCAGGTTACAACCCTTGATTGATTTCTTCCTGCCACGTCTCCTTGTTGTAACATTCTTGAAAACAAAGTTGTTCCGTTGACTGGCCTGACTTTCATTTAGTTCAGAGGTTTCTTTCATACTGGTGCAGGTTGATGTATTTAACTCATTTTCAGAACTTGATAAATCCAGAACTCTCCCGGTTGAAGATTTCTTTGTAGGACGTTTTGCTGTTTTCAAAGCTGCGCTAGGCTGTAGAAGATTTTTATCTGATGTAGGCTGACGTAATCTCTTAGTTGGAACATTCACTGAGGGGGTAGGGGGTTTGACCACTATAGGAATTTGGCAGCGCTCATCAGATGAAGCTTTTGCCTCATTTTCACATTTCTCATTTTTTTTTGTCCGTCTCTTTTTCTTGCCTCTCTTAGTGGAGCTTACGTGGTAATTTTCTTTGTCTTCTTCTCTTGAGGAAAGTACGGTATTTGACTCAACTGATGGAGAAAAGAACTCATTTTCACTTTTGAGGTAAGGGGTTCCTTTTTCCTGGTCACTTGATTTTTGGTTTGATTTTTTCTTTTTCTTCTTTTTTTTCTTCTTAGCATTTTGAGAGCCTGAAATAAAATGAAGAGGGTGAATACAGCCATTCATTTGTAGGACAGAGATAACAAAAAGAAGCAGGAGAAAAGTTTATCAATCAAAATTATCCTAAGAGTATACAATTGTAAATTCCCTGACCGCTGGTAAGAGTTTGCTGTACTTCAAGATAATACTGGATGAAAAATAAGGCAAATCTTCAAACACTATTTTTGGAGATTCTAGGGCTTGTATAAGTGATCTGAATGATCTATAGTCTGTGAAATTCATTGGAATGAGGAATCCATGGTAAAGTTATAGAAGGTGAGTTGGTTGCAATCACCTACCTAAGTACTCATGTCAAGCCGTTTATTCGTATTTTGTTCAAATTATACATATTTGTAGTTCAAATTTTGTTAAATGATTAAGTTTCTCATGTGGTTTCAACTAGTGATTTGTACATGCATTAGTTTGTTTTTTATGACTTACTGTTCTCTCATGATGGGAGAAGTCCCAAAACACACAAGTGATAAAAAGAAAATATGGCAACAAAATTTTATACCATTTTCAAAAATTACAGTGTTAATTCCTAAAAATACAACCTATTTTATTTTGCTGCGGTAAAGTTATGTTGTTGACAAGATGATAAACATCAGAAGCTTCAAGTCAATGAGCCATATTTCAAATGGGTTTTCAAAAATTTCAGCTTAGAGCAAGAGCTCTTCATCTCAAGAGAGGACACTTCAAAGAGCATTAGACCTCTTTTGTTAAATTAATACTTCGAAAAAGGCAGGACAAGGAATTTAAAAGATGGAGAGAAATAAGTACAATATATTTCGGAAATATAATGCTTAGAATGCGGTAACAAAAGAAAAGAAAAAATTATTCCAAACAGCATACACTCACCGGGGTCATCACTGGTAGTTGTGAGTTTGTATGCATCACCACTTTTGCGGATTTCATTTTTTTTAAGCTCTATTTCCGAGTTGAAACGCTCAACTCTGAAAAATGACACAATTTAAATTAACAACAGGTAACAATAGCAGATGCTTTTAAGGCTAAAATAATGGGTCTGTGAAAGTTATACTGAAACAAGTGTAGCATCTTTTATTTTCTTTTGCTTCCTGATACTAGAGTACCTTTATAGACAGAGTATGGCCATTCGTATCTTTTTACTACAGGAAAACTGTTCCGCTTTTTGATTGGTCAACGAGTTTTTAGGCTTCATGATGCTCTTAGGGCCGTAAATAAACAAACAAGATGGCGACTCTCTGTATCATTGATAAGAAGCTAAAGTTCGACAATAATTTCACTCACACGGCAGTAACAATTTAAACTAGCATATCTGTTAAAGCGCCTTTCACCTTTATCACAGGAGGATGTAAGATGTGCATAACCTCAAACTTCCTTGCTGATAACAGCCATCTTGTTTGTTTATTTACGGCCCTAAGAGCATCGTGTCAGCCTATTCGCTCGCGACCAATGAAAAACCGGAACAGAAATGGCCATACTCTGTCTATAAAGGTACTCTACCTGATACTGCCGATAACCTCGAGAATTTACCAAAAAATGACAGATCTGTTGGAGGATTGAGTTTAGTTGTAAACAGTGGCATGGCGTGCTCTGAGATATATCGATTGATCTGCCATTTAAGCCTATGGAAAAGGATCGATACACAGGGTGTTAGCAGCAAACACCTTAATAATCGATTCTTTACCATAGCTTCAAATGGAGAAATATCGATAATCGGTCCTCCACGCCGCGCCACTGGTTGTAAACTTTATTTTTGTCCAGAAACTCTGCAACATCTCAAGTTTTTAATGTGAAATTCTTACACTTGCCTTGCAAGGAAGGGTGTAAAAACTTTCAAATAATGAGGCCAGCCGGGTCGTATACTTGTCATGTGACATGGGGCAACCCCCACAAGAACAAGGGAAAAACAGGGAAACCCTCGCAAGAACGGGAAAATGCAGGGGAACCCTCATGAACACGGCACTAAACGGGGGAATCCCATGTAAAATACAGTATTTCAGCGGGTGAAGTAGTCTGCTTCTTTAAGTGCTTTTTGGTTTCTTTCGGTAGGCAGCCTTCTCCACTTAAAAAATCGGACGGAATTCCATGAACACAATAAAAATACGTGAAATTGATTAGATTTAAGGAGATGCTTCATTTATCAATTGCTTACAATTATTTTTCTGACAAAATGAGTAGGCTAAGTTCAATGAAACTACCTATAAACTTGAGTCACAGTATGCACTTACGATCCAGCTGAAGATAGGCTGAGCTCTTGCAGGAATCTCTGACATAGTGACTCATCTGGTAAAGCCACTAGAGAATCATCTTTGTTTGAATTATCTGAAGGTGAAGGGCTCGACTTGGAGGTAGCCAACAGGGCGTCAAAAATAGAGACCGGCGAGGAAGGGCTAGGCTTAGGTGCATCCCGCAACACATCAAAAGGATCATCTTTCAATTCAATTGGTTGCACAGGTTTCTTGCTGGAGTAGGTTTTAATGACAGTTTTCATGGTGCTGAAAAATAAAGAAAAAATCAAACTTACGAGTTAGAACAAAACCAACTTTTACGCAGGGCAAATGCTGCTTTACGATGGACATCTAGACAAAAAAGGATTTATTCAACCAGTCCAGGGAGCATCTAGCAAAAAACATGATATCATACTTCTGGCATTGAATTAGCAGCCATTCCATGGCTAAAGCAGAAAGGTGCAGTCTGAAAATTCCAAATTCACGGGAGAGCTACAAAACTAAGTAATTTCCACATGCATGTGAGCTTGATAGGATCCAAGACTGGGTATAACATTTCATAGGATAGATTAAACACGTTTTGATCCTCAATCTTTCTTCCTATGGATGCAGCATAGAATAAAGGAATAAGGACTGACATAACTGCGAGCTATGCTTTTAGACCGCTACGGATAATTATACATTTTCTGCACTGAGTGCCTTTGAGAGAGATAGCCAAAAATTGCCTACCAACCCTCGCCACTATTTTGCAAAGGTTTTCACGCTCTACTTTCCTGGCGGACTGAGCCGCGTACACGGGTTCAAAGAGTAATGACTCATTGAGAAAGGTCAAGATCCCCGCATCACTGATAGCTGCTCTGAGTCACTTTTGCAAACTCAAACCTCAACTTCAGGGGGTGAAGCTGACCTACGCAGTTCTGTAAACCTCAGGCTCGGAGCTCAAGGTCATCGTCAAGAACCTGCTGATTTTAGAGTTTCTTCCTCTACACCATATGCCTGCAAAGGTAACGCATACAGCTCCGAGATGATACTGCATGGCATGACTGCAAGGAGCGTTCAAACTCCTGATCGTAACTGACATCCGTCAGTCGTCAATTAGTACATTCAAAAAAAAGTTGAGAGTGATAAAAGTCCTAAATAATAGCTGATTAGATGAAAGGACCATTTAGATTTTGAGCATGAAGGATAGTGATGGGCGTGCGAGTGAGAATACGGTTTAAAAATCGCTAGCTTGCTGTTAGGACAAAGAACAATAGATCCTAACCTCAAAACTAGTAAAAACAGGAAAAATGCTTCAACGCAAGACTCCTATTAATTGAAACAGATCAGTAATGAAATGGGGTGGAATCTTACCAAGCGACTGCGAGTTGCTTCCAATTTCCATCATTTTAGAAGAGAAGAAACGAAGAGAAGTTTGAGTACCAACGGATACTGGAGACGCTTCAGCTTCTCGGCGAGACATAAAGGGAGGGCCGAGGGGAGTGGGAGAGGACACTGCGGCTTCAGAGAAGACTTGCAAAATGTAGTCGCGAATGCAATTGGAAAACGAGAAGAGGGGAATGACGATAAATAACTGGTAATGAGGGGAGAGGAAAATAAAACTTATTTTCTGCTTTCTAGACTAGAAATTCTAGAATCACTACTACTTTAGTACTTTCGGTATGAACTATGAACTTTTACCGTCAGGACGACACATTGACGTATAATACAATCGTCTGTATCGATCGATTGTATTATACGTCAATGCAGAAACAGCAATCACTGCTGAACCGCTGAACCAATCAGAAATCAGCCATAAATTAATGAATGATTGGATGAGCCAATGAGCGTTTTTGTTTTGCAAATTAGGAAGCAGTCCGGACCAATCCGGACACTTCTTCCCAGGGGATGCAGGCGGATGGCGGGAAGGCGGTACTTTGTTTACACTTTTCGTGGCGTTTTTGTGGTTCTTTCTTGTAACTTTCTAAGAGCTTGTGATAATATCTTGTCATAAAGCTCAAATGTATCCGTGGATGTTATTATGTTTCTATTTTCGATAATTTACTCTCTCTGATCCTACCATCTACTTAGCCATGAGTCAAAACCAAATTGGCATGGATTTATCCGTTGTTTTATCTCAGCTGAAGATCACTGAACGAAATGCAGAAAATCTTCACCGGATTTTGCCTTTGACTCAGGTATCCTTTCTTGCTTTGGTAATATGTCTTCAAGCATTCCACTTCTTTAAAATTAGGGAAGTACATAATTACTCTTCAGTTCCCCAGAATCTTTGGTGTGAAAATCTGGAACATTCGCTGCCTATGAATGGAGCCCTTCCATGCGTCTGGAATTTGATGTAAAATTCCATTGAAAACATGCCGATGCCACCAGTTTTCTTACCATCAAACCTCTAAGCTGAAAAGAAGCTATCACAGTTGTTGTTGGACTGTAAGACATTTCTTACTCCATGCTAAGCACATTCTACTGTCAGTCAATTGTAGAAATGCGGATTTTCAGCGTAACATGAAGGAATCCCTCCCTAGCAGCTCTGACGCCGAGAGATTTTTTTAGCCAGAGGGCTCGTTTTAGTAATAACCAGTGGCTCAGTCAAGTCTTTTGCCAAATTTCACTTGTGAGAATATAGGTACCTACCTACATACTGAAATCACAAATCAATGACACGTGCAAGAGCTTCACTCTGTAGCAGTATGATTACCGGTAGAGAAGTCTTACATTACATGTATGGTGTACGGCTGTAGGTACATGCACAGACAACTTTCTGCACTGAATAGATTACTTACGGCTAGAAGTCAACAAGTCATGAAAAATTTATATTTGATAGGTTGGCTGTTTCACCTCACCAGGTGATTTGTCCTCGGAAGACATACTGTAGAAATATGAGCCGTAATACCAAGGAAGAATTGGAGAAAAGACACTTCATAGAACTCTCATGAGAAGCAAACTGTCCTAAGAAAATATTTATGTATAAACAGCACTTCAGTGCTAATGTATCAGATTTTCTTTTATCTCATCACAAGGCAAATTTATTTCACTTCTCTTGTTGACTTTATCGGCCATACTTTAAATATTGAAATTTTTTTTTTAAAACTTTTTCTTACCGATTTTTCCTAAAACTTGTCGATTGTACACTACAGCTGTTTCGGGTTTTCACCCATCGTCAGGTGATTTAAAATATAAAAACTAAAATTTTTACGGTACGTTTTCGCGATCGCGAGTGGTTCGATGTCCGCGTCCGCGTTCGTGTTCGTGACGAGACTGATAACCCTGGCATTCTTCCTCACTCCCTGTTATCACGTAGTAGTCCATCAAGGTGGGAGGGGTAATCACTGTTGTTATGGTACTTTCTGTCTGAGAATTAAGGATGGCTTTGGTCTTAAATCTATCTATTTCGAGTTGTTCACAAACGNCAGCATTCCTGGAAAAGTGTCTACTCTCCTTTTGTTCTGATTATTATTGTCATTTTAATATCACTGCGTGCTCACTGTTCTAATTATTAAATGTAAACATAAAAGTATTTTTATCCTTGACTCCTTATTGTAGGTACTTCGTGAATACAACTGTGCTGAGGTGGATCACATTGTTCGCACACTAACAGAATCATGGTTGGAATGCTTTTCACTGGAGACCTTAGAGAAAGAACTTCTTCAAGATATCTTTTTTGTCATCAAGAGTAGAATTTTATTGGTAAGAAATCCAGTTTTTAGCTTCTTCTTTAGAGCAAAAGTAAGAATCTAGAAGAACACACTTAAGATTGAGATTCTGACTTAGAGCTCACTTATATGTGAAAACAAAAATCCATCTGTGATGGAAGTTCACTCTAAATAAGTTCCAACATTCTAAGAGAGAGTAATACGTTCAAATATATTAATTTACGCTGTATTAACTAACAGAATTTTAGGTTTTATTGTTTTAGCTCCTCAAATGTTTACTGTCGGTCCAGACGTTAACACCGATGCGCTTACTTTACCGCTTGCGGTTACTTTACCTGACTTTAAAAAAATAGCATACTGGATGTCAAAAATGTGTCTGGTGATCCCAAGATGCTGGCTTAGCTGCCCTTATCGTAAACTTTATAGCCTGTGGATGCAAACTTAACTGAAGGGGCAGTCAAGCCATTTCTTAAAGCTCACCGTGACACATTTTTGACATTCAAGATGCTTAAATAGCATATCTTTATTTTGTGTTTTTGCAGCTATCATTTATTATAATTTTCATAAGCTGAGGAATTTAATAAAAGCCGTACAGCTTCCCCTTTGCAATATATTGATTTTGAGATGAATCATTTAAAAAAATCTCAAAAAGACCAGTACCTTATCTTCATCAGGCTTCATGCACCAGAAAATGAAGATTTGGTTCTTGACCACAAATTTTCAGTTTGTAAGGCCAAACATGGTGCCTTAACATGTCAGATCCGACTCACCGTTAATTCTCAGGCGCATTTCAAGGTAGAACGAAAATCTAGTAAAACAAGTAATTGGTCAGCAGTGGGTGATAGAAGAGGGTGAGGGTACCCCAGAAACGTACAATAATGCCAATCTCCATCAACGTTTGGGTCTGTCTCCCACCGCTAAGTTTCATGCACCACATTAGGTAATATATTTTTGCGAAAAATCATTTTACTTAGCCCCTGAAAAAGGATGGCCTCTAAAAATTTGACTCATCAGCGTAGATGGCTCCTAAAATTTTACCTTGAAGTTCAAACACTGGAAAAGGCATTGTTCCTTTTCTGTCCTGTCCTGTCCTAAGCACAACATGAAACCCTCAACATAGCTTTTTCACTCATTAATGAAGCCCAATATGAACATGCCAAAAATTTGATATCTTGATCTCTGCCTCCTAGATTTATAATTTTTGATATATTTATGTGAACATGAGAAATTGTGTTCTCTCTGAATTTTCAAAACTCACATTAAGCCAAAAGTTTGGTTGTCTTGGCTGTCGGATTAATGATGCAGCATCCTGAATACCAAACAACTCCTTGTGCATCTCTGTGAGGCAAAGTTTCACCCAATATTTGGACTTTCTTTTTAAATTGTTTGTAATTTTGTCTACTTATCTTCCTTACAGGCTTACAACATAGTGGAAGATATTATAAAGAACAAGAACTTTTCTCAAGTGAACCAGCAATTAATTGAAGAAAAATTAATGGTAAGAATTTCTGAACACAGTATTTAGATCATTGAATGTCAGCCCAGAAGTAAGTTCAGTAAATTAATATTTTTAACTGAATTAAACATCTTGTATACTTATATCTGAAAGATTTAATTTTCTGATCATAAAAGGTGAGAGAATGGATTACGGCAATCTATTTTTATTGCTATATATATATATGAGTCGCTTTTATAGCGCTCTTTGGCGCTGTGCGACGCCTAATCGCCACAAAGCTCGGTCTTCCCACAGGTCATCAGGGAGTTGACAATCTCTTATCTCATTTAACACCCCCTGTCGCCAACCTCTCACTGGGCGTCCCCTACGTCTCCTCCCAGGAGGAACCCAATCAAGCATCTTTTTTGGCAGCCTCTCTTCCGTCATCCTATTGACATGACCATACCAAACAAGTTGCTTGGTCATGACGTCGATCACGATGTCATTTTCGACTTCCATTATCTGACGCACTCTATCATTACGGACCCGATCTCTCCTAGAAATTCCTGCTGACCTTCTCCAGAAATCCATCTCCGTTGCTCTTAGCATATCCTGTGTCCGTTTCTTCAGCTGCCAAACTTCACATCCGTATGTTAATATACTTTTGACTACAGCGTTGTATATCCTCCTCTTGTTATCTTTGGAAATCCGCTGATCCCAGAGGATTCCATTTAACATCGCTATAGCCTTCCTTGCTAAGGTGTTCCTTTCCCTGATAGCTTGATCCGTCCTTCCATCCTGGGTCAACCGCACTCCCAAGTACTTAAAGTGCTCGCAGCCTTTGATCTGCTGCCCATCCTCCAACTCAATGCTTTGCTGATCACCGCCAAAAGTCATCTTCTCAGATTTGGATATGCTGACTTCCAGACCCCACTTCCGATACTCTTCTACTAGCTTGCGCATCATGTATTCCGCGTCATCTTGATCTTGAGCAACCACCACCTGGTCATCAGCAAAGCACAGAGTAAACAGAGTTTTGAGATCACCCAAGGGGACACCCATACCAGAGCATTTCTTTTTCCATTCTTTTAGCACGCACTCGAGATAAATTTTAAATAATGTTGGCGACAAACAACATCCCTGTTTTAAACCCTTAGTCACATAAAATCCCGCTGACAACCCCCCATGGCACTTAACTTTGGTAAAACTCCCTTTATAAAATCGCTTAACAGCGTCAATCAACCCCCCGTTAAAATTCGATTTTTCCAAGGCCTCCCAAAGTTTCACCAACGGCACGCTGTCATACGCCTTCTGGAGATCCACAAAAATTAAATGCAGTTCCTGAGCTACGGCCATTTTCTTCTCAATGACCTGGACAATAACAAAGAGGTGATCTATCGTAGACCTGCCAGCTCTAAAACCAGCCTGCTCCTCTGCTTCGTGATCCTGCCATTCGTCCTCGATCTTCGCTTTCAGTATCTTCCCGTACACTTTGCTTATTGTCCCGGTCACTGAGAGCCCCCGGTAGTTGTTACAGTCGTCCTTCCTTCCCTTCTTTTTTCTTTTTCCTTCTTCTATTTTTATTGCTACATACACATAAGTCAAATTTTGGTTTTGATCAGTTTTTTTCTCATTCTTTACAAATGCATATTTTTTCATTAATGTTAGGAAGTGCTTGTCAACCCTCATGCATCCTCATGTGTAGAATTTTCATGAGTTATGATTTAAATACCTTTGATGATAATGCACGGCTTCAGTGCTGGATGAGGAAAAGTAAGCACCCTATTCCAAATGTACAATGTTACCACTGTATATTACACTTATCTGGTCTCATAATGAATCTGTAAAGATTTTTCACACATTGCTTTGAAAAATTGCACTAGTAAAAACTGAATAAGTCTCTAATTAAATGGACTTAAACATTTTTGGTTTAATAGCTGACAAGTTAGTCTAAAGCTATCCACAATCCCTTTCTTGGTTTTTTAGTCTTTATTGTTACTTCCTACTGTATGTTCAGCTTTCACATCTTGAACATGAACTTATCTACTTGTTTAATCCATTTTTCAGGAAAATGTGAATCTTCTAACAGCTGTCGAAAATGTCTTAGTATTCTACTCAAAATTTACAGAAATCTCGGCAAATTATGTTCCTCTTACATTATTGTTGGTCAATAAGGTTGTGCTGGCTGGTTACTGTCATTTCAAAAACTGGTGAGTCCAAAAAATATTCCAGTAAAGTATTTTGTCTGAAGAAAACACTGTGGCAGTGTTGGATCCAGCTTGGATATTTTCCAATTGTAATAGAGTGAGTCAAAATGGCGGCACTGATCCGTGCCACAAAAAAATGGCCTCACGCCACAGCTTGAGTGAAATGTCCAAAATTGTTCCCACTGATTATGGCACCACAGAACTGCATTTTTTTTTTGCTGCTGATCTTTGCATTACATTTGTGGGAAAAATCATTAGCTCATATGAGGTTTTGCCGTAAAAATTAAAAACCATGTTTTTGTTGCTAATTTCTTCCACACATTTATGAGGAGGATCTGCAACTAGAACATCTGTAGTAGTGCTGGGAAGAATCATTCACTATTTGTACTTGTTTCTAGCAAATTGATTCATCCTTAGCACTGGTTCAATATACTCATTCGTCAGAAATTGAAATAGAGAAACAATTCCTATGAACCGCTGGACTAGAGGAATGAGATGAATGGCAAGGATGCCAACCATACCTCCCCACTATCTGGTGATTTTTCTTGTGTAAAAATGACAAGCAACCTTAAAATGGGGTTGGTCTCAATGCGACTCTCGACATTGTCGGAATCATCATGTAAAGAAAAGAGTAAAGATAAAGAGATATTCCAAAATGCTGCCAAATGCTGGTATTTTTTAAACGAGTCAAACGCATTTATAATTCAAAAACGTTATTCAAAGTCTTTGTAGGTTGATTGGGGGTATTAAGGTCTTTGCAAATAATTCAGAAATTTAGAAAAATATAGGGGTCAAGAATCATCTTCAGATTTTTGGAGATGGTGAAAATTGAAAATTCATGTGATCCCCATGAACTGAAAGAGTACGATTGATTTTTAAAGAGCTCCTTCAGAGCTTGAGAGGTAACTTGAACCCTCTGATGAAGGGGAAGTCAATACTAGGAAACTGACAATCATTTGGTGTACGTTCGATCTTCTAAGCCTAGTATAATTGGTATTTTTAGACACACATATTTTTCGCGCTTGAAAGATTGAGCGCAAAGCACAGTTCTGTTTTTCCTGTTTTTTTCAATGATTCAATAAGATCAATTGCTGTAAAAAATATTGCACCGCTTTTTCTAATATTTCTTTCCCATTATTTTCAGTTTTAGTGATGAATTTTGTACGAGTGACGTTGAAAATATTAGGAAATTATACTCAAATTTATTTCAAAAGAGTCACAGTATCCTAATCCTTTTTTCACAACTTGTCACTCGAAAGGTCTGCTTCAACTGTGAACATGAATCAGAAATGATCCTCCTTCTTCAAAGTAAGTTTTTTTCCCATTATTCTACGTTTGCAACTTATTGATCTTTATTGATGTAGCACATAGTTCTAACCTCATCTGGCACCTAAAAATCAAGCTTTGGTTCTTAAAAATAAGAGTTGCTGCATTAACCGTAGCATTTGAAAAATCAGTACAGCTTTGATTTCTGTTTTAATCTCATTTCTTGCAAAATTTTATGTCACATTATCAAAAATATGTAGACTTTCCATGAAATTGTAGATTTTAACTACCAATTATGCTGCTTTGCCTTATAGCTGGCAGGGCATTAATTTTGACCCGCGGAGCATGGAGGTGTACTAAGTAAACAGATTCTCTGACCATCTAGGAGGCAAATTCTAATAAGCCGTAGCTTTGTATTTACTCAGTCATCAAGCACCCAAACGACTAGGTGCACCCATTGTTTTAAAAGTTCATAGTTTAATAAAATCTATCTCCATTCACAAGCTGTACCTTGTCGAAAACTTAAGGACTCCTCTGAGAAGCCTACTTCTACAGATTTGCCCTAACTGGAATAATAGTGGAGAAATAAAATAGGAAAACTTACTTTTAATGCAACCCTCACACTTGCAATATTATTCACAACCAGTTTTTGTAGTAATGAGTCTAAAAAGATTGAATAATTGAACTCATATTCAGGTATAAATTAGAGATATCTTCTCGTCTGCAACAATGGACTACTAGACAAGGAACGAATTTCAGCATTCTGATACATGTTTCGTAACTAAAATTTCACCTAGAACACGATGCGCACAGCAAAAATTACCGAAGTTAACTCCTAACGAAGATATTTAATGATTCTTGATGCGTGAATTCAAACCACCCGCTCATGAAAACTCAATGCTCTACGTGATTCACATCGCGCGCTAAACATTATCATGCCAGTCTCTGTGATATAAAAATCTGGCAACCTCAATCTTGACGCTTTGGCTCAGCTATAGCAAATTACTTGTAGTTTGAAAAATACATGATGGGAAATGAACATTGCTATGTTGAGAAGCTTGCTGAAACCGTTGTAGTGCGCGATTTGACTCACGTAGAGCTTTGAGTTTCTTGTGAGCGGGCAGTTCAGATTCCTTGTAACCAATGTGAAATGAAAACGTTAATATCTTCGTTAGGAGTTGGTCTCAGTAATTTTCGTTGTGTGAATCGTGCTCTACGTGAAATTTTGGTTAAGAAACATGTATCAGATTACTTAAATTCGTACCTTGTCTAGTGGTCCATTACCCAAGACAAGAACATGCATCTCTCAAAATTTAAGTTCCTTATGACTCTATGAATGATGGCTTCTTTGCAGACGAGTCTACACAAATTAGAGACTTTTTATGAAGTAGCTTCCATAATCGACATCCTTTTTATGAAGACAGCTCCAAAGTTGAATGGAAAAGAGAGAAAAATAGAGGGGGGGAGGGGGAAGCAAATGTCCACAGATTATGAGTGCACTCAATCTTCACATAATGCAGAATGGTTCTGAAAGGGGGAGCAAAGGTTTTAGAAGTAATTGATCGAAAGAGACTGGAATTTTTCATCTTGTTTAAGTGCAGTCCTCTTGATCACTACTGCGGTTAATACTCTGTTAAGGGTTGGTTCAAACAGAAAAACCATATCTTGCCTACAAAAAAAAACCTTCATGTGTTTCAAGTAAATATTTGTTTAATTTCAAGTTTTTTTCCTCTTTTTCCTCAGTATTAGATTCTATTCCTGATGTAGCAGATGCTTTAATGAATAGTTTTGATATGAAAATGATGGCGATTCAATGGAAATTTTTCTTCAACTTAGCTCAAAAGCATATTAAGCATATTCATGCTCGGTTTGATGTTTCGAAGTCTCTAACTTCTTTGATCGATCAAGTTATTTCCAGAATGGACCAGATAATTAATAAGGTTTCTGTTTTTTCTATTTCTCTGTTTGTGTTTATACTTGCTGGTGAGCACATGAAACAATTCCTCACTTGTACTTCGAAAAGAGAAGAGATTATTTACATTACAGGAGGAAAAAGTGAACTCATAGTAAAATGTTCTTTGCAGAGAAATCTTTGAAGCGAATTTTTGGGATCAAGTGTAACTCACTATAAACTATAATTGCTGAGTGATGTCAAAATTTTATGGAACCTGCATTTGATTAGAGAGAAGAATAGATTGCTGAATGAATCCATTATGAAGTGAAGTAGTGAATATTTTCATTTGCTGAGAAAAGGCAGCATAAAGAGCTTGGTTACTCTATGCTAATTTTTCCAAAGAAATGACAAAGTATGACTCACCATCTTAGATATTGATGACATTTTTTTTATTTTATCTTCGGACCAGCTATGGTGAAGCTGCATCTTTTTGGCTCAAAAACTTTTTGATAAAATTATCCAAATGTTAGAACTATTGATGCAAGGAGCATAATTTTTTAGTTTGCAACTAATCTCTTCAAAAAATGACCCTGTTGCGCTCGAACACAACTTACAAACTTGAAGCAACATCATTACCATACATTTCGCAAGCTGCAAAGTGGCAATTTGGAGTGGTGAAAAAGGATCTCTATCAATGTATTCCTTCCTCTGGGTCAAGCCTGTCTCTGTTCATTCAGGGTAATTCAAAAGTCCCGCACCAGGCAATTTGGGGGGTTTTTTTGGGAGGGGAGGGATCAGGCAATTTCTTTGAAATCAGTTAGTTTACATACATTTAATTTGGTGATAATAACTTCTGCTGATTTGTTTCAGGAAATCAGTGAAAGTAAAGACATAACAAAAAACTTGAAAACTTGCAATTTTTTTGTAAAAATTATCTTCAATACTTGTGAATTATTTCAAGATGAAAACAAATCGTGCTACCCCAAAATAGTCTCTTTTTTGTGCTACATTCTTGGGTAAGATAATTCTTTTTCTACCAAGTTATTTATCACTGAATATAGATACCCACTGGATGGATGCAAGCAAAGACATAATTTCTGACTTGGAACTATTTTTTTTTTTTTGACTCTTGGCGAAAGAAAAGTTATAATTATGCCCCGAAAAACATATTTCAAATACATACACCCATTTCTTTTTTTCGACCGATGGACTTTCAATAGCCTCTCTGTAAACCTCACTTCTTTGTTCAATTTAAATTTTAGTTTCTTTCAGTTCCAACAGTTTTTACAGTCCACATAGCTCCTTGGTAATGAGTGAATTTTTTTGCAACCCTTGCAGCTTTTTGCTGGCACTCTTTATATCAGTGGTTTTCTTGCAAACATTTTTTGTTTAACATGGCAGTTGCCCTAGTACCACCAAATTTTTTGTTTTGCCAAATTTGAAAATAATGATCAGATTACATTGAACAGCAAAGAAAGTATCACCTGACATCCACAAAACTTAAATTAAAGATTATATCGTACTTTAGTCTTTTATCTAATATTTTCTTTCAATCACTTCCTTGGAAATCAAGAGCCTTGATGTCCGCTGATTTTTGTCATTATTTGATATCATATTCTAAACAATCTCTTGAGCCTGATGAGCTTTTCAAATCAAACTTTCAATCTGCCCATTTTGAGAAAAGCAGGGCTGAAAGGTAAATTTTCCAGCATTTTTACATGTATTATCTAGTAGAAATGTTAGTGATTGAAGAGAGCTCCTTTCTTCCTTCCCGCAAAGAGGATCCTCTCTCTCTAATTCGCAAGTATATTTTTTAATCCATGTTTGTCTTTTGAATTTTAATTGCCATGGGTGCTACAAACTTGTTGGCAACAAAACTTAAAAAAATTATTTTTATAATCTGCACGTAATCTACATGCCATCTTCATACTGTGTATCATTTGAACTTTCTTTCTGTAAAGGACTTCCTCACCATACTTAATCTCAATTGATTTGCCCAGACCCACAATTCAGGAAACAGAAACCCTATTAACATCATTTTCAGAACCATTTTTGAACCTCATGATCATGGATTCGCAATTCATTCAAGTAAGTGTCTCAATCAGTCACACCAAATGATTGAATCTCTTTTTCTTTATTATTTTGCTCTTTTTTTGAACCATACCATCCATTTGCAAATGTTCAAAGCATTGCCGTGAAAATTTCGGGCTCATACCGTGTCGTTACCGAATTGATCCCCTTCTTGGTAGCTGTTTACTGTTCTAGCCGTCAACTGCAGTTTGGAGCCTTGCCAACATTTGAGCAATGAATCACACTTTAAAACGAAAAAACATTTGTATTCTAAAGTTTTTGATGAAGTACGTTCCCTACAAAATTAATTCTAAAAAATGAAAGAGTTAGCACCAGGTTGCCCACGAAAATCATCTATTTTTACAGAATGACAAACTTGCTAAAAATCGTTCATTCAAAGTTGCGTCTAAACAAATTAAAACATGCTACCATGCTGCAATTTGGCCCAGTAATTCTTCATAGGTCTTACCGTTGCCTACGAGAATGGAGAGGCCGTAACTACTCGGTTTCGTGACGTCAAACTAGTAGAGTAACCGCCGTATTAACCAATCACAGCCGCCGTCGATTGGCCGAAGTTGCATGAGCGGCGCGTTTGAATCTTCGAGGGGTAACGATTTTCGGTATTTCGTCGTGTTTAGCTTTTATTTCCTCAATTATCAGACAATGTAATTCATGAACTAGGCAGTTTTCTGATGTGAAATTTTATCTTCTTTCAAAATGGTTCTTATGAATTTTTGCATCAGATCAACCCCTGAAAAGATATTAGCACAAAAGGAACATGTGTCATGCGTTCTCCCATAAGAACACATGTTAAATCGCAGCCGAGTTTCATCTACTAGCGTGACGTCACAGAATCGTAGTTACGGCCTCTCTATTCTCGTAGGCAACGGTCTTACTTTTACCTTCCAGCAATAGGACCTTGAAATTTGAACCATTACCAAATCACAACAAAATTCTGTTTTTTTTTTTTTTTGGGGGGGGGGGACCCCCCCTCATATATCAATTTTTTTATTTTTTAAATTTTTTTCCAGGAATTTTTCAGCTTGTCTTCAGCTGAAATTGTAGAGCCTATTAATGAAATTGGAATTTTCCTCCTGACTGTCACAATTTTAAGGAAGTTGCTTTCACACCCAGATAAAAAGGCTGTTGAAGATAGGTGGATCAAACATGACTTTAACATTTTGAACGTGCCTTTCAATGTAGTGAGAAATGGTTGGTTTTATTAATATTTTGTTTTCATTTGTCTCTTATGGCCATCTATGTATTGTCTGATCCACTTTCATGACTCCCCTAAGGATATTAAACTTTTCCTCTTGATGAAGATTAAGTAATATTTGGTCGTTAAGAGAACAATTACATGAAAAAATCGTTTGCAAGGATGAGGGCAAGGGCTGTAAAATAAACTAAAATACTGAGAATCCTCAGTGTTCAGTAAGCTAACTCAAAGTTTTTAGAAGTGTAAAATGCTCAAAAATATAATACTTTCTGTTATTCATAATAGTTTAAAGACACATTCCGATTGTGGTGTTTCAACATTTTAGCGCCTGTCAGTGTATTTTCCGAAATACTCTCGATAAGCTGGGGACCATCAAGAGAGAACCAAGCCGAAGCCTTAGGTTATGAATTAAATAGGTTTTGGTTTTTGATGGTTTCGGTTATCGGACATTTTTGTTATCCAACTTATCCGATCATTATTTTGTTGGATAATAAGTCTGCTTAGTTTTTATCTAGGTCTTGGTTGGTATTGATTTTGAGTACAATTGGCCCACCCACTTACAAACGGCAGGTTTTGTAAGTTTGTGCAGGAGTTCATTTCAGAATATTATAACTTTTTTAGGGGAGCTGTCTCATTGAATGAGGAAAAATGGGGAAAACCTTTGATGCTTATTCCCAGAAATATGGGCAGATTTTGACCTTTTATTGTAAATATCAGTACATTCTAAATCAGAAAAGACAGGGAATTTCTCTTAAGGAAAATTAATACCAACCTTCTTTTATGCTTTCATGTAAGAAAATTTTTACTATCGTAATACATTATGAAATTTGCTTAATGTTTTTCGCAGATAATACGCACTTGTTCTTTCACATAACTCTACCGGGAGAGTTGTATGGTGATGGCAGCGCTTCGGAAATTCATCCTTATCGAAGTCTTATGATATCCTTATCAGCATTCATTGTGAGAATGATTTCAGAAGATGATTCCTCTCGTGTAGAATTAACATTGCTGAAAAATGTGTGCCAGCCTGAAATTTGGCCTGCAGTTCTTGCATCTGATGTGTGGTGCGCAGTCTCTAGGTATGCAGATAAATCAATCAATTACCTTACAGTTTAGTTTAAAAAATGAAAAAACTCTAAACGAGATCCAGCATAGATCTGCTACCACGTAATTTCAACCGTCAACCATCTAAAGTTTGGAATCTACTGCAACCGATGACAAAGCGATTGTTACGATGAGCAAAGTTTCAGTTCCACTGCGCCTGGAAAATAAGTGGCAGAATTGGCTGTCAAATTCCGTAGTGTCCATCAATAGTTTTTATTGTTTCCTGAGGTGTTTTATTCATTTGGATCTGTGAGAATGTGCCAAACCCTTAGTTTGCTCAAAATCTAAAAGGTTTAAAGTTTCAAAGGTCTCAGGTAAGATGTCTAGCCATCCAAGAAGGCCAAAAGTGAACTGAACGTTTGAAATTTTGCAGAGTCACCATTTTTTTTTAATTCAATTCTTGGACTTTGCCAATTTTTTCAATCTTCCACATAGTCTCTTAACTGTTAACCTTAGGAGCCGGAGTTCAGAGGGGAAATATTTTCTATTACACCATGGAAAAAACCTTTTCTATCTCAATAAACTAACTCTGTAAATAATTCCATATCTCACTGTGTATCTTAGAAGAAGGTGATAATTGAAATGAACTGTCTCCAGAAAAAGAGCATCTGGTTTGCAATTTTGTTGAGGTCTCCTAAATATACTTTTTCACAACCAGTCTAAGCATAAGAGACTCCATAAGACTTGTACAATTTACAAAAAAAAGAGGAAAACAAAATTTCATGACAGTAAAGACAAATGGCATTGCTTTAATAGCAGCTGTTTGCCATGCAACAGTCTGTGCTGTAATGTTGAAAATTGCTGTAAAATTGAAAAAAACTTAACCTGTTTTTAACTTAAATTTAATTCAAGAGAGCACAGTAAAATCAATCTTTAGAAAATATAATTTTGCTGTATAATCTTGCGTAAATTTACCATCAGCAACCGCAGATGATGCAAAGATTGCACTCTAGTGTCATTCCTTGCATTATATTTGTGACGTCTCTTTAATGCTATCTAGGATTTTGCGGGATGTTTAGCTGGGCTCACGGTCTGAGTATGATCTATTAATGAGATCTCAAAAGAAGGAAACAGGGATGGATCTCTGGGCATAACCCCAGCTTAGTATTTCAAGGCATCTGCCGGAGCCAAACACTCCT